AGCTGCTCAACTATAATCAGTGTGAAAGAAAACAAATAAACATCTATACATAATTTGAAAAGGATGCCATTGCAGAGAAATGAGAAGACAGTGTAAATGTTAATATATATAAAATAATTATTTGATCGAGTGTATGAATAGAAAAATAAACAAAGATTGTATTGATTTTGTCCTAATTTTATTTAGAATTTAATAGTATTATATTCTAAGTATATTCATGCTAACCTTCCAACAATACAGCGGTAAAAATTGGTAATTTTTAATCATATAAATGCAATTCTTGAACCAAGATTAACTTTTGACATTGGAAGTTCAGAACTTAGTATTTTAAAGTTTTTCGCAAGACCAATGACTCTTTCAACATGTATACGTTTGGACGCAATGCGTCTGTCCTTCACGACTGTCTCTGGTTCAAGCTGTGATATTCCTGCCATCATAGTAGGTGTATTGACCTTTACATCCTTATTTGCAAATAAATCTTGCACCATTATCCCCCGGTCTGCCATAATGCTGTTTTTTTTTATTAAAAAGGTCTTTCTTACAAAGATCTGAACGCTCCATTATTTGTCTGTCGCTAGCAATTCCGGCATAAGAATCACTGACAAATGTAACTAAACTTCTTGGTGAAACACCAATCATAGTTTTGAGGGTATTTTTATGTTTATATGATGAAAACCTCGAGCTTTGAGCTGAAACATTTGATGCTTTTCTGTACTGGGATCTCTGTTGCATCAAGAATGACACGTGTTGTTGAATGTTTCCTCTTAAAATCCTCGGGCATATATTGTGTAATAATATCTCTTGTAGGCCATGTATTTATTTCCTTTAGTTGACAATATATAAAGTTTATCCATGTTTCAATCATCTTCGAAATGGTCGGTTGGCTCACACAGAAAAATAGGCTAAGTTCATAGTCTTCCTTATTCAGACGAAGTTTCATTAACAATTGGTGTTTTGGTTTGATCTTTTGACACTTATAATTTAAATGGTTTACAGCTGGTCCTATCACATAAAAAAACAAAACATCATGAAATGGCCATTATCATCAAATCCAGTATAATATCTGACTTATCTACACCTCACCAGCTTTTTGCAGCAACAACCTCATTCCCTTCTGATTCACCTGCATCCACCAGTTTTCTTCACCACACTCTTCTAGCATAGCCATAACTTCATCATTCATGTCTATGCTGTCAGATGTAACTTGTGCAGAATGTCTCCAAAAAGAGGAACGAATCAGTGACCAAAACAAATACATATTGACCCTCACACAGGATGTGGAGTATTCGCGAGGTGAATGTGAAAAGGCTAAGAACAGGAAAGGTAATATGAATTTAAACATGTGACTGTTTGTCACAAATATCTTTAGGTCGAAACAGCCTTTTTGAGAAAGTCTCATTTGTTGATTTCATAACATGTATATATTTTTTTTCTGAATAAAGGGTGATTTAGGTTTGCACATAAGGGTCAACTTCCCTTATTTGTTTTTTTTTATTCATACAACATAATTCTTTATTTTTGCCTACCATCTTCAGATCAGCTCCTTTAATACCGAAAACAGGCTCAAGGTTTGTCTTAGTTGGCTCCTAGTGGTGTAAAAATATACCGGTGTACCGCACAACAGCAGTACGAAAAGGCTGGGTACGGTTCGTATCGGTACGAAACAGTCTAACCGGTACATGCTATCAAGAGTAGCGTCCCTTACCAAAATGGCGACAAATAACAGTGATGAATATGAATTGTTTGAAAAATTGGTTTTAAACACATTGTTTATATCAATGTACATGTGAAATTGTGGCTCGTTGAGTAAAATTTCACAACGCTGATTTCTTGCTATGAAAAGATGTTGTTTTTATAAACTATTGCACCACATGAATTAGTGATAAGTATGTAAAAAATGTTCGACAATACGTATCGGTACGTACTGCGATACACTTAGTGACGTATCGCAATACGATTGTCAGTTGCAATACAATGCCTACTGGCTCCTATAATCATAAGTTTGCTATGCTAACCACTTTACCCACTTGTGTTATGATGGTCTCTTGTATATGTTTATATGGTTTTCTTTTACTATTCTTTTACAAATTTTGTATCATGATATGTAGTATATATTATTCCGTTTAGAGATGACATTTCAAACTATTTTTAATGGGTCGGGAAGGGGAAACAAACATATTTTTATTTTTTGCCTAAGAGTTATCAAATTGAAACATCATATGTATCATGGAGGGTATTGTTGTTCACAATAACAGTTAATCTTGCTTTCATGAATTTTAAGTTTTAACTGGCAATTTGATTCGGTGAACAATGTCACAAATGCTTTAATGTACCATTTTGTAAACAAATATTAATTAAATGATAATATAATACAGATATTTAATATGATGTTCTTTTCAATTGAAGATTTTTATTCCTTCTGGGCAAGAGGCGCCACAAACAGGATACACGTATCTGGTCTCTGGATCCGATATGTGTGTTCCAGTGACTTGGCTAGAGTCAACAACATCCCTGTTTAAGAATAAAACAAGGTCCCATTGTGCCAAACTCTTCTTAAACGAACCCCAGGCACTAGTCAATTAAACTGCCTCTGAGATCATGAGGACCCCAGTTGGAAAGGCATTTCAGTGTGAGTAAAATTTCATATTGGTCATGTTTGCTTAAATATTGGAATTAATTTTAACCACATAAGTACACATATTCTTAATTGTTTGTTAAAATTTTGATGAATGAAGGATATTTTGTTATTGAAAGATAGTTATATCGCTTTCATAGTCACAACGCTAATGACTGCAGTAATATATATTCTTTGAACTTTGAGATGTTTATGTTAACATTCACTGCTGATCAAGAATTTTTTCCAATGGTGGATAGGCAGTTGCAAAGACGTTTTGAGGTACTGGTGGGTATCCACTTGTCATTTGTACTTAAATCTAGGTTTTGCAATGCAAATGCATGTTCATCCCAACAGATCAAAATCAAGCCAGCACCAGTGTATTGACCAATAAATAATAATTGCCTTTGGTGTTTATTTTCTTCATTTGTAGGTGGGCTTTACTAATAGATTACTGCCACTTTTTTTCAATGTGGGGTTTTGGGGTATCAGTCACCTTCAGTGATAGTTCTAGTTTTATCCAGTATAAACATGGCAGCATGTAAATGAAAAATAAACCGTTTTTTATCAGTGTACTGCTTCAATAAACTTAGTATGGAGAGTAGCTTAGTCACCAAAGCAGTCAACACCAAAATACACACAATGGCCAGGGCACTGAAGCAAGGTGTGTTTATTGGAATGAAAATGGTAATCAAACTAGTTATCTCACATGATGATTAAAGTTTCCGATACATAGTTTAACCACCCCTTTTTACCATGGCGGAACAAATAAAACAGGTTGCAAAGTTTTCAGAGGATGCCATAAATGTTGCATTTCAAGAAATGTCTCAAGAGACTAAAGAAAGTTTGTTTTGAAAAGGGATTAACTTTTCTTAACACAAAATTAGGAACTTAAGGAAAGAAAACAACGGAAAAAAACAAGCAAAAACTTGTCAGACGAAAACATATTCACGAAAAACATTCTGCCTCAGATTGAGAGGAAAATCAAGGAACTTGAGGATGCGGAATTACAGGAAGAAGGTGTGCAAGTTCAAATGGACTTCTCCAATATAATAACTGACTTTGATGGCATAAATGCTGAACAACTCAAGAATGAACACGATAAAATAGTGAGACTTGAAAATGAAATGAGAATCGGAACTCTGGTGATTCAGTTCATCAGAGGAAAGTTATACCTTTTTGCGAAAGAATCGCTGGGGACTGTGGATGCTAGCCTGAAAGCAGCCGTCGAAAAGGTTTTTGTTGTGCCATACAGAACATATTTGCGATACGCCACTCTGGCGAACATGCTCTTTTGCTTTCCTAGACTGATAATGTGTGATTTAACTTTCACACGAATTCTTTTGCACCAAAAAAGACTTAAAATATTTTAAATCTGACGCAGGACGAAAACTCAAGAGATAATATTTCACTGCCTGTGTCCCTGAAAGCAATGGATAAAACCTTAACAATAGAGCGTTGTGATATTGATGTCATGGCTGTAAATGTTAGCACAGGTCCAGACCGGGCAATCCGCGACAAATATTACCAAAGGCGAATCCCCAACGATGCAGAAGTGCAGAAGACTTTTGATGGTGCAGTAGGAGCTTACCGCGAGGCCAATGAAGAGACGGACTTGCTTGAAAACTTGTGAGTAAAAGTCTATTTTAGAAAGCAATGAAAAAAAATTTTTTTTTCAGGAGAAAAAACTGCTCAGTTTTATACATAAATTTAATCGGGTTTTAACTTTATCTTTTCAGAAACTCCTTTCATATGTAACGTTTGGCAAGTTTACAGCCAGTGACAGTCCTGTCACCAACTGACAGTGTGTCAAGTGTCCATATTGGAGGATGAACACCGAAGTATACCAAACAACATGAGGGGCGTGTGACTGAACTTTGATATCACGTCAATTCACATGAATACTGATATAAAGTATTTGTAAAAATGTCATAGTAAAGTTATCACTGGTGTAGTATTTTTATCAGTCAGGTGGTGATAAAGTGTGACTCTTCATTGAGTGAACTGAAGCATGTTGTGTTATTATTGTATTATAATCAGGATTTTGTATTCTAAAATACAGATATTATGAACTGGTCAAACAGTTTGAGGAAGACTGAAATTTGTATATAATGTCACTTTGTATTTTTTTTGTCATATGATATTCACATAATGAAAATACAGCGATATAAAGTTTATATAGCAGAACCTCGATTTATATATGTGTTTAAACACACCCCGGATACTACGATACATATGTATTGCAGTATTATCCGGGGGATATTTTCAGTTTCTGCTGTTTCAACGATTTTTTGTTGTCTGTGCTCCTTTTGGGGCATAAAAATGAGTTATATCGTACAACCCCCATATATCATATATATCATGTACTTTTTATTCTGATGAGAGAAAATGCTGATATTTAGTCATATGCAGACAAATTAATTAATAATATTTAAGATAATAAAAATAATTTGAGCTTAGCATCAATATATGCGTAAATATGATATTTTCAGGATGCGGATGACTCCATGGTAACAGAGAAATTAAAAACAAAGGAAGGGTCAGCACCACATCTTTGTGCGTTTATTGATGAAGGAAAACTCAAAGCAGTTTTCATTGTTGGAGATGACATCTCCATAAGATGTTTTGGGGACTGCCTTCTCTTTGGAATAATTCAGTTAATAAGTGTGTATTACATTTTTGACATTTACTATCCTTAGTGTTATGCAATGTTCATGACGCTTTTGCAGATATTTGTTTTTGAAGAAAACAATAGTCTTCAGACATCAAAGAACTTCAATTTCTTCATTAAAAAATTGAAATTTGCTTTTGTCAAACAGAAAAAAATTGTACCATAGTAAGGTTTGAACTACAAACCTTGAAAGTTGCTCCATTTCAGATTTAATAAAAAAAAAACCTCTTAATTAATTCTAAAAGATTTATCATATTACATATTTATATGATATGATATGATAACAAGAACGTGTTTGTTAAACACAAATGCCCCCGGCTCAGATTCTTGTCAGTAACAATATTTAAAATAAAGGCTGTATAGGCAAAAGTGTAAAAAATCTATTTTTAGCACTGGTGACCTTGACCCAACTGACCCCTAACTCCATCCAAACGAAGAATATCATGCAACTTATTTTCCTACCAAATATGAAATAAATATGTCAATATATAAAGGCTGCATGGGCATAATGTAAAAATCTATTTGACTTTGACTGTTGACCTTGACCCAACTGACCCCTAACTCGATCCAAAGGAAACATATCACTCCTGACAGTTCAACTACATCGTCCTAATAGCCTATAATACATTGATTTTAAGATTAATATATCAAGACAGTTTTAAAACAAGATTGCATTTGTGAAAAAAGCAATGCCACCGCATAATATAATGCAACACTAAATAGTAGTGTAGGACAAGAAGAGTTATTGTTACTATACAATTGAACTTTGCCAAAATGCAGTTGATTCTAGTGAATTTGGTGGTCAAGGTCATATTTCACATGGATCAAATTTTATGACTGTACATCAAAGGACAAGAAAGTAGGTCACATAATCAAAATCTAGGTCAGCTGATATCAAAGTTCAACTTTACATTTAAAATTGTGTACAGTGTCCAAAAGAAATTTCATAGCTGAACATTAAAGTAGGTCATGTGTCAAAATTTAGGTCAGCTGATATTAAAATTCAATTTTAAATCTCTAACTGTGCACACGGTCCAAAATTCTTGGCTGTACATCAAAGGACAAGAAAGTAGGTCACTGTCCCCTTCGGTAGAGCAAAATTTTGACCCAAGGATTAAATTAAAACAATCCTGATACAGGTCCACCAGACAATGTTTTATGTCAAATATCTAAACTCTAACTTTCTCCTATTCAGAAAACATTTGTCTTAGTTTCTGTCTTTACTATAATGTACTCCCCCAAGGCAGGGCCAATTTTGATACCAGAGGTAAAAATTAAACAACTTTGGTTGAGTACCTATAGATGATATTATATACCAAATAGACTAGTGGTTTTTCACAAGAATATTTTAAGTTTACTATATAATCAATATAACACACATACATTAATCCAGTAAATCCACACACTGCACACACATATGTGAATCGCTATTTGCCACCTTATTGCAGATGCTGCGGTGGCATGATCAAAGTTATATTTTGAAATTCATGTTATGAAAAAATTAGGACTTTGGCAATTTTGGGAAAAGTACATCAAACAGTTTGGAAATTGGCCTAATTGGGAAAAATTATCAGTTCATTATCAATTCAGACATTTTTTTTTATTAGTCATAATGAAACGTGTTTTTCACTCTATTTCAATTCTGTTGTTTTAAGCATTACATTTGTTTTCATTCTGTCTTGCAAATAGTGTAAATAAGTGTGCATATAAAGAAAACAAATCTTAATTTCACAAGTCATCTTGATTTCATTTCTCAATTTTTGATTTTGATATGTGAACATTCAGGGTCATAAATAATTTGTTAGCTTACATTTTTGTTTCAATGGGGAAATGTTTGTCAAAGATTTGGGTAAAATAGGCATATCCTTTGGTCATATCTCTTTAAGTAAGTATGTTAAATTTGTGAAGTCTAAAACGAATACAAAATTATCTGACATAAACAATGACATTCTTTAACTGTATTTTTAAGTAATCACAATATTATTTTAATTATTAGTATGTGAATTATCCTTGACATTATATTTCCAGCAACAGGTGATGTTGATTATTGGTGAGGAGAAACAGCCTGTAAAAGCTATCACAAAGGCCATGAGGGGAATGTTTTCAACAACAGAGCTAGCTGGATGTTCAATGAAAGGCCAGGCAACCAGCATTAGGTCCCAAATCCCAGGCCAGGGAAGTTCATGTGTTTAAAATATTTCTTTATATTGATGAATGATTTGATTACTTTGTTTTGCAAAGAAGCAAAGAAAAAAAAAACAGTGCCAATACTGAACATGTTAAATGTACATTTAACAAACACTTTAATGTGTTTAACCTATGTTTCAAAGTTTTAAAATGCAGTAAGCAGGATTTTTCCCCCTTAAAAATAAGGCCTTTATTTTACTTTGGTTACAAGGTAGAACTCTTTCTGCCTAGGGTAGGTCCAATCCAGGCGGATTTAAGCAGAATATTTTGTTCACCCAAACATTTGCAAAAGTTAAATTACAGCCCTGTTACAATACTGATAATCACCCTGTCTGAATAAAAACATTTACTATTTCATACTATCATTTATCAAGTAACCAAGTCTCAATTGTAATGATATCAGTTACCTGATACTTTTACCTTGACCTTTACATGTCAGTATAATCCCATGAATGCTGGAATAGGTAGCTCTTATTATAGACAGGTGATTCCTGCCAGTGACCAGTTCTAAGATTTAACTTGATAAGTTCACATCTGTGTCCTTTTTTATATATATTCACATTTGTGAATAACAGAACTTTGTAACATTACACTATAGTATATGACATGTATGTACATTCAATAAATATATTACATGGTGTCAGAGTAAAAATGATAAAAATAGTAGAAAAGAAAAAGGATTATTACATTTATCATATAAAGTATACTATAAATTGTATGTATACAATTTTATGTTGAATAAAATATATGTCATGTTATGTTTTTTACACACTTTGCGAGAACAACGGTAGGAATACCGCCTCCGCAAATCAATTGGAATAGCAGGAATTTACCAGATAAATGGCAGAAATTTGAAGATCACGCAAAATTGATCTTCAACGGGCCATTGTTGGAGAAAAGAGAGGAGCAAAAAGTCAATATCACCTAATCTAGGTAGGAAACAGAGGCAGAGAAGTGCACCAAACACGGAGAGATATCACCGCTGACGGCGAGAAAAAATTAGAAACTTACACATGGTTCAGAAACTATGTCCAGACCAAACTTAACCCCATATTCCTCGAAACAAATTTTACGAGACACAGGGCTCCGACAATTTTCACACATTCCTAACACATTTACGGATCAGGGTAACGTACTGTCAATTCAACCAGCCAGACCAAATAATTCGCAAGAGAATCGTGTTTGGAACAAGTAACTCAAAAGCAAAAAGAAAAAAAAAATTCACTTAATAAAAAATGTTAATGAATATTATCAAACATATTTATTAGACATTATTAATTTACCACCCTAGGAATGTTTATCTATTCAGATTTTTCAACTTACCAGACAGTACTTTAAATATATTTTTGAGTCAATAAGTTTTACAAGTGTTTCCTTTAGTAAATTAATTTTTCACTTATTACTATTGTTACCTATCAGGTTTTTTTTCCACGAATAAATTGTGACTACTTTTTTTCTTTAAATTGAAATGATTACTTCAATTTTGTTAAGGAATCACTTTACCAAAACATAAGCCCTGGATGCAGAAAATAGATTTAAAATAACTCACAGATCTGTTGTTATGGTTATCAATGGATTGTTGTCCTCTTGAAACAAAATACAATATTTATTATACTGTATTTGAATCTACTGTTTATCACAATTATTCTATCACAACTCATGCTCATGAACATGTGAATGTCAAAGAACACTGTATAAAATTATGAATGTTTACTGGGTATATATATAACTGATTTAGTCCCAAGAATTAACTATAATGATCTAAAATTTGACAAGGGTTTCCTAGAATATACTTTCTGGTTTGTTTTCAATCACACCTTCAGTGATTTTATGTTGACATTATTTCCGATTCACTCTTGCTTCAAAATGTTCTTATTTCTGTTTCTATTTGTTCACAAATCACAGATAATGTATGGTCTAGTTTGTCTCCAAATCATATAGCAGCAGATACATCAATACATACTTAAATCTGTTTCAATGAATAATTTAAATCTTGAGCATTATTCAAACAAGAATGTTATATCTACTTTTCTTCATATTTCCCTGAGTTCATGCTAAGTTGATATGATACATGTATGTGCTTATGCTCTTTTCATTTTTGGAGATTTCATAAAATCATTTTAAGTAAGTTGAATTTGTTCAATGTTTACTTTATTTTGAGCATTTCAATTGATTTTACTTTATTCATTTTAATACAATGTACTGGTAACAATTTTGATCAATTTTCATTGAAGCAGTCAGCATGTCTTTACAAGAATTGTATTCATCAAGTACATTTATAAAAGGCATAGAATTTCATATATGTATACAAGATTACTCCATTTTATATACACAAGTTTTACAATTTTGTACACAATTCTCAAACTGATTATTGCACTTCCCCGACTTTTTCAGTTTCCAGATACAATATACCACATTATCACATGAAGTCCTGACACCATTTGGCCACAATATCAGCCATGTGTAAGCTAGCATCTATCACATAAGCGTGGCTATATCCCATTTCACAGACACGTATATCACAGGTGGGGAACAATTTCTTGAAATCCTCTCCATAATGTGGAGGACACCAATCATCAGATTTTCCAAAGTAAAAACTAAGACGGTCCAAATGATTCCCAACTAGGGTTTTGTCAAGCTCTGCCACTTTGGACATCTCTTGGTGTGCCATAAACAAGGCATTGCTTACACAAAACGGATTGATCAAACCTTCAGTTGCTGAATGAACACATTCAGGCACATTTTCATCTTTAAAATGACTGCGTAGCAACCATGTCTTTATACCCTGAGGTAAGAGGCCAACACCTGAGACTAAAAGTGGTGCCATCCAACGTAAATACTTCAATGCTGGAGTATAAATCCTGCCATTTGGAGATATAGCCATTCTTTCTATTGTTGGAAACAGCATGAAACATCTGCCTATCGGCTGCTCCAATTGGTAGAGTATTTTTAGAATGATGTAACAGCCAATTGAATGTCCAATCAGGAACAGTTTTGTTTTCTTTGGAATGTTTTCTTTGATGAAAGCAACTTTGTGTCTTATCTGACCATCTAGGGTGCAGACTTCATAGCTCAACTTTTCTGAAAAATTAAAAGTCTTGTTTATAGAAAAGATAATTAATAAATATTCCTTTTTTGACAAATAATTGTTATCTTAACTCAACAATTAATTTTCAATGAAGTAATTATATAACTACCACAATCTGGCTAAAGTTCCAACTTAGAATATCTGTTACAGATGAAGTTTCATATGATATAAATTACAATACATATCTGTTTCTCAAGTCATACAGTGAAAATGTGGATGCAAAGTTATCACTTTTTTCAATACGCTACTTGGCCTACATAAAAAAATTCATTCACCAGTTAACTACTTATCTAATGCATCACAAGAAGATAAACCATAAATATTTTACCTCTAAGACCTAAACTTGAACCAGTCAAAATACTAAGGACCAGAAAACCACAGCAATTAATTGCCAGTATTCTGCAAAATCTATACTAGCCTGAACCATTATTAACAAGCCCAAAAATATTCAAATTTTGAAGAGGAAAGTAGTCAAGAATAATAATGAATACAGTTGTTTTCTGAATCAAGGACAAATTCTATTTGAAATTCAGTTAAATTTCAGAAAATTAGATCATCGACCACAAATTTTTCATACTATAAGCCAGTCTGGCAAGAAAATTGGAAATTTTATGACCCTGATTCATATTCTACTAGCCATCGGCTAGCAGTCTACTGCTAAATTTGCAGACTGTTAAATGAACTATCTGTGCTGAATAATTCCGACCTGCACCATCTGACCCATTGTTTGAATGATTTTCTATCTGTTAATACAAATATTTCTAGAACCTTTGAGTCTGACTTTGTATGATTTAACCCTTTACCCCATATATACACGAAACAACGCACTTTCGACCCCCCCCCCTTTTTAGGCCTGAAATAGTGAAATCGTTTGAGAAATGTTGCAAAAAAAAGTGAGCACTTTTTCGGCGCCGCCCCCCATCCAAAAGATACATCAGGGGGTTGCCAGAAGGGGGATGTACCCCCTTCTGTTTGGGGGGTTTGAAGGGGGGGCGGAGTCCCCCTCATCACCAAGAAAATTCTGGACTTGTGAGAGGCTAAAAATGACCCCAGGTCGATCATAAGGTAACATGTAACCAACGCTGAAAAGCCTTTGATTCTGTCTCAATCCCTTGAGAAGTTGCAGCACTTTGAAATAAATTTTGATGGAAAAAATCAAGGCAAAATAGTGATTTTTGGCAATTTTGAGATGTCCCCTCGTTGCCATGGTAACAGGAAATTTAAGACTGAGCATGTCGTTACAAAGGCAATGGTCCAGTCAACATTTGTGCCAAGTTTGATTAGTACTGAAGCATTTTTCATAGTTTCATAGCAGTTTGAACTTGTAACAGGAGGCTTTTCAGTGAAAACGGCCATTTTTCACAATATGCTCATGGGGGGAAAGGGTTAACAACATTTCAAGTTTACAAAACCCATGTCCAGATGCATAATATTTCTTTATAAGATCTCATTACCTTGATGAAATTTTACAGCCCTACTATATAGCTAACAATTAACATTTCTGCAAAAGTTTCATCATATCTGTTAATTGCTACAAAGAAAGAGCATGTAATTACTAGACTAAAGACTGTGGAACCTCATTGGTTTCTGACTTACTGTACAAGTCCTGGTTTCCAGCAGGTGGGAGTACATGCCCTGCATGTGACACACCCCATACAGGCACTGTACCTCCACAGCTTGTATACAGATGACTCATAAAATCATCATAGAATTCAACAACACCTGGATTTCCTGAAAATTAAAAACAATTTACAACATATTAATTTATAATGTTATACCATTTAACTTATTACATATTCTGGGAATCATAACATAATATAATGCCATTAGGGGGAAAATAGGGTAGGGGAAGGTATTCTTTATTTCATGATGTATTTGTAGTGTATATAATTTTACATACAGTGTAATTACCTATTGTAAACAAGAAGACCATGATTGTCCGTCTAATTGGGCAAGTTTGTCTAAAAATATAGTCATTCTTACTAATAATGACAAAATCCAAATAAAACAGTAATTTCAGAAAGAGGAATCGTTTGTCATGAATTTAACCTAGTTTTGATCAACGGTCACCTAAATTTTATCTTGTCAACTGTTATGATTCATAAATATATGTACAACTTCTTACAACAGGGCCTGGAAATCATTCTTTGGCTTAGTGGGCTCAAACTTTGTTTCTATCACTTGTAAGTCGCAAATTCAAGCAACATCAGGATCTTTCTTGATGCATTTGCATCTTTTTGTTACAAACTGAAAATGTTCATACATGATGCCTGGCTCCTGGAATTTGTTTAAAACATGAAATGCTTTCTGATTACAAAAAAAAAAATTAAAAAAATACCAAAATGTTTCCTTATTAATAACTGAAATGGTTTCTGACTTGAAAATAAGTCATTTAGTCATCAAAAATGATGGCTTTCTAAAGATTCTTTGGCTTATAGTCACTGTAAAGGTCCTGGTGACTTTCCAGCTTCATTTTGTACAAATGTGGGGGAACATCTCTGGTGCCCCACTTCAGGTATTCACAGGCATCAGAGTAGAACCTTACACACAAACAGTATGTGCTAGCTGGATAGCTTCCTAACATGAAAGAACCTGAAGTCCCAATTTGGATTCAAACTTACAGCAGTGTATGAAAGTTGTTATTAATTTCACTTTAAAGATTCTTTGTTGTAGCATGGTGACCTAGTTTTAGACCAAAGATGACCCATAAATCAAACTAATCCAACTGATCAATAATATGGTCATTCTGACAAAGTTTGATGCACTTCAAAACTGTGACCTCAAGAGTGACAACTGTTGATTGTGGATGCCGAGTTAACTGACATATGATAATAGCACACTTAAACTAAAAGTTAATATGAGCAAAAAAAAAAAAAAGATTTTGAAAAGTCCCAAAGGCAAATAAAAAATTCTAGGGTTGGTAGTTTAAAACACAGGGTAGAAAAGAGGAGTCAAAACAGAATTATTATTTTTTTCCCTGATGTGTTGAATTTAAGTTAACATTTTAATAGATTATATTTATTTTTCTCTCTGCCTGCTATTAAGTTCAACAAATCAAATCATTTTTGGCTTTTTTATTCCTTTTTAGAAAATAACAACAACCCTCTGGTCAAATTTCATCAAAATCAGACTGTGAGACAGTTAATGCTATTTTCTATTTAAAGCTCTGGCTGCCATTTTTTCAGCAGACTGGAACATTTTCAGCTCTTTGGTGTAAGAATACCTCAAAGATTATTTATAAATTTTCATAAAAATCTGCTGAAAAATAGGTGAAGATATTTTATTAAAAGCCTATTTTTATTTCTGCAAGGCCTGACCTCAAAATCAAAAGGGGTCATGACTCATCTACTGACAATAGGCAATGTCTCCACCAAATTATATAAACAAGGACTGATGCCTTCTCAAGTTGGTAGTGGTGATTCACATAAATACGTACCAGATCATAGCAAATGAAAGTAAAACAAACCTGGTACGACTAGAAACATTGATTTTGTGTCCTGTAAAATTTCACCATACTTTAATACACTGGTAGGCATTCCTAACACATTGATGAATTCCATATTCCTTACTGTATCCATATAGAAATCTCATCAAAACCTGAATGAAAGAAAGATGGTCAAATCAATTTGACGCTATCATTGAACAATGTGTAATCAGACAATGCAGTAGGTACAGAACTTTCTCACATATTAGAACGGATTTTCTACATGTTGCAAGATGGAAAATAACATCTTACAACAGCTTTGTGTAAGATGAGTTGTGTACTTTCAGCAATATCATTTCATAACTAGTCAAGAGTTCAAGAAGATGTCAATCTGCCACTTATTCACGAGTTAGTGTCATAAAGTTAATATCAAAATATTATTATTTATACAACAAAGCTAAACAAGAAGGCAATAATGGCCCTTATATGGCTCATCTGATTTAGAGACTTACTGACCGGGTAGTGTTTCTTAGTCTTTTGTGAATTGGTCTGGGCCCTTTAACTCCATTAATTAGAATTGTAATGCCATTATATGTGACATTTTAACTGTTTTTTTATGCTACTAAATGGGGAAAAAGTTAAAGAAATATGTGTAAAAATGTCTTGATTAATGATAGTTCACTGTCTCTTTTTCTCATGTAATTCATGGGTGAAATTTTAGCATTTAATCATTCAAGCGCCTTGTCCAGTATATACCTGATTACAGTATTTAGTGTGGTGGTCCAATCCTTTTTTCATGGATTTAACTCATTAAAGGACTGGAGCAGTACCTCTAGACGCTTGCAGAAATCATGATCACAAAATAGACAAATATCTTTTTTTTTGTTAATTCTTACATTTTTCATCCATATAATCATACATAAATCAGTGTAAAAACATGAATTAGCTCATTTCTTTGTGCGAAAATGCATGATTTTAGCATTTAAGCGCCTTGTCCGGTACATACTGGAATACAGTATTTAGTGTGGTGCTCAAATCCTTTTTTTATGCTCACTCTTTTTTCAATGCATACACAGTTCTCTAAAATCGACAGCAAAACTGGTGTACACAATGATCCTTTTTCAGTAGCGTTCTATCCAGATATGGCCAGTCTGCTGTACCTAGACTTAGACCAAGCCCGTTGTAGTCTAGAAAGTAGATCTTTTAAATTTTGAAGATACTATAGAGTGGTTGGACCAATGCTCGGCGCATACCAATGCTCGGCGTAAAAAATATTTTTTTTAGAATATCTGAAAATGTCTCGAGTTATCTCATATAGGTCACTGGTGCTTTTATTTACATCTTTCACCATTTTATCCTGGCGTGGTTCACTGCTGATAAAGTCACGTGACAATGCTAATAGCAGACAAACAACCGTATGTAATCCCCAACATATAAATTATTAAAATCTTTTAACACTAGAGTTCTGGGGCTATAAAATTTAAACTAAAAGTTGGGTACTTGTAAATGTATGAACCTAATTTGGTTGTTACAATTTATTCAATATGTTTTCTTCATAAGATAAAAAAGAGATTTTATTCGAAAAACAATCCTGAATAATGTAGTATTGTATGCCGAGCTATGGTACAATTTCACGCAAACCACACTTGTTTATCGGGCTCCAGCCATGCACATCATTATATGATTAGCGAATTTTACACAATGGCTATTTAAAACAATATCATCGGTCTTGAAAATGGACATATAACATTGAGGTTTGTTGACGTTGATTTGAATTTGCCATATCAAATATAGTATTTTTACGCCGAGCGTTGGTCCACCCACTCTAGGATAAATAGGGCGAAAATTCAGTGGGCCGACTCCCTCACTAAAATCATTTCATTTATTTTCTCAAATAAAGACCTGACATGTGATAACAAATACTTCTTTTAGTTGGGAGTGACTTTATGAAACCAACATTACAGTCGAAACGCATTCCACAGGCATTAACATCAAATATTATTCCTTTTAGCATACCTGCAGAAGCGCAAAGTTTAAGTCGCCTATAGCATGTAAAAATCTATGAAACTGGAACATAGTATATAATTTTTTTAAAAATATAATTTAATTTAATTATTTCATACAGTACAAAATATATTATAGCTAACTGAGTCTCTTGAAATTTATTTATAACATTAATTATGCAATATTAATGCTGTAAGCAAGATGGTTAGACTGGTACCCAGCATATTTCTAAAAATTAAATTGGGAACCATAAAAAATTAAAGCTGAAAGGAATAATTTAAAAACGGAAAATCTATAATCAATGTAAATGATGAAATAATTATTCCCTTCCATAAGATTGTACTATGTACGGGGTATTTCAAATAGATTGTGCATGAACAAACGAGAATAAACAAATGTATTATTTACACTTAAAAACAGGATTTTAAAATAATAGTTAAAAAAAATAAATCCGGAATCACTTAAAAACATACATGTAGGACAATTATGCTATTTTTTTTAAAGATGAAACATGTACGTAGCTAATTCAGTTTGTAAATTTCATGCATTGAAAAAAGCATTGCCAGGTTATTGTCATGTATAATCGTTGTCATATTATTCTGCTTCTGGTTCTGGTTCTGAGATCATAATTTTCAATAGTTGTGTTGAAGATTGAATACTGCTCAAGTCGGGGTTAGGCTACCCTGTACGTTAATGCCCCAGAGTGGTTTATGTACAGTACTGGAAGAAGAAAAAGAGGGGCGTGAGAGGTGTGACACCTTTTATTATCTCTCATGAATATACTCAATATGATCGATTTACACGAATTTTATTGCTAATATAAGCTGCTGATTTTGAGTGGTGAACGCTGGTTGTGCGCACACTTTCGGCATTGCATACAAATTATTTCATGTTTTTAAGATTTTATTTAGTTTTGCTAAAATATTTTGCTTTCTGCATGCAGAAAAGTAAACTCATACACATTCCACGCGTAGAACTAATCATCGTCCCCAGGGTAAATAATTTCAATGATGTCATGTGCAGAAGGGAAATAGCCAAATCACATTATAAGTATATTAATTATTTTATTTACAATATTGGTTTATTAATTGATTAACACATTAAACATGCTTATCAGACTGGATGTTTTGGTCTTCACCTGGATACTTAGATATACTCACAATAACTAGTACCTGTGAGAAGTTATTCCATAAGTAAAGAAAACATACTAGTATTAGTGTCAAGCTTTTTTTGGCATTCAATAGAAACGCTATATTTCTTTTAAAAAATGTGTGTAAATTTTCTTAGACGAACAAAAGTTGATACTATATCAAATTCCGTTCATAGCCGCTTCCTATTTTTCATAGTGCTTCATAGAACTACATGTAAGAATAGACAGGTAGTGGCGCAATAAAGCTAGCGCATTTTAATGAAGCCAAATAAAGCTTGACACTAAGTGTGTTAGTGTTCATATGTAGCTGTTCTAAAGCTGAAATCGGATTAACACAATAAAGAATATAGCTGCTTACATCTATATGTAGTCTGTAAGCAGCTTTCATTTGCAGATAAACACGGTTATTTTTTTTATCTATAATGTCATGTAAAAATAATGCATTTAACTTATCAAAGTTCTATATTAATTATGTGGACAAATCTCCCGAATCAGTACGTAGTGTAATTGTTGAAAGTATTCATTCGAACTATCATCATACTTAAACACTCCCTCACTGCCCCATAATTACTTGTGTAAGTCCCTAATTTAGTCCCTATTAAACCGGGAAATATTTAAGCAGGGTATGACCAAACTTGCATACTTTAAGATTAACTTTTAAACGATTTTCTTTATTTTAAAAATGTAACCCGTCTTACAAATACACTTGTATTATTATTACTGTTATTCACCTGTACAACTTTTCTAAAATCAATGACACACACGTAAAATACTCGAAAAGAGAAGTGAAATAGTACAGTTGAGTTCACACTAAAGGTTACACAAAGTGCACTAGGAGTACACTAGATGTGCACTACTAATGCACTTCGTAAGTGCACTTTGTAGTGCACCAGACCTTTTATATGTATTAAGCAGTTACCTTTTATTTCAATTTGACTTTTACAAAAAGATAGATAAATTTAGATATCTGTATAGTTGTTTTTCATAATAAATTTGAAGTTGTGAATATTTGATTTTGTGAAATATGGCGTAAAATATCAGAACAATAATTTTTCTCAAAATCATTAATTTTACTGATTTTGTACTTTAAAACTTAAGTGTTAGAATAAGTAAATATAAATAATTATAACTTTAATGTTGATAAGTTAATTAATAAGTTAATTGATATTTAATATGATTCTATTTTTTTTCTTTTAATCTGGGTTATGAAATATGAAACATTGAAATGCTAATTGAAATGCTAATTAAACAAAATTCTGTCAGTTTTTTGGGGGTTTTTTTTTGGGGGGGGGGGGGGGGGGCGAAATTATGCCAATTAGTTATTTTTGATCTTAACTTATGGTTGTTTTAGTTTAAGTAATGATTTTAAGCATAAATAGCCTTAAATACATTAAAGAATTAATATGTTTATAATTGGCCTAAATTTTGTCAATTTTATCCCATTTATAATCTCTCTTACCTTCTCAAACTGAGATTTACCTAAGATTAATATAAATGATATATATTATTCTGAAAATAAATATTTATATATTATGGTAGTATATGTATGAAATGAGGATTCAGTATCGATATGTGTGGATTAAGTATTGATATGTATCTGTGGGACACTAGTACAATGTATTATTAAACTGACATGGATATTTACAAAAAGATTAGAAAATCTTTCAATTCCATTTTTGAGATGACACCAATCTTCCTCCTTTTTTCATGCATTGTAACGTAATTATGCAATATGATTATTTTTATGAGTTTATTATAAAATGCAAAAATATTTCGGGGTTTTTTTTCTTTTTGTACTACTTGTAATGAAATTTATTTGCACCAACATCCAGAGAATACAGAATTTACATTGCCTACTTATATTTATCATCTGCCTTTTGTTATTTACCCTGAGGGGCTCTCTTATCAGCAGGGTACTATATTAAAACACCAATACACAGCATTACTTTTGACACTTCAATCTTCTGTAATTGTTTTCTGCTCATGTATGATATTTTAAAAAAAAAAAACAAACAAAAAAAACACAGATCTGCATTAAAGTGAAAGGTAGTTACAAAAGTTTTATAATCATGTATTTAAATATTTTCTTAAAAAATATATTATCTTCTAAATGTGTTAAAACTGACAAGGCAAATTTGTCAAATTTATAATAGAAAAATTTAACATTTCCCTGTTCAGAAACTAAAAGATGTTGCAAATTTTAATGCAGAATTGCAAGAAATGTGGATAAATATTGATATGAGGTCTTTCTAGAATAGTTAACACTGATATTAATTTTAAACAATTTTTTTTTATGAAAAGATTAGAAAATTCCACACCAAGACAATAATGACAATACTATCTGACATGCGTTTATGCCATTATGATTATTTCTACATTTGATAATACAAAAATTATAGTCATTTATCAATGTCTTACATGTATTTAGGGAAAAAAAACAGGAAATTTTAAATAAATATTGCATACATCTGCATTTTTGTTATTTACCCTGGGACCCTCTTATCAGCAGGAGACCAGTGTAATTAAAACAGTCGCTCTCAGAAAATGTACCAATACACAACATGACTTGAGACTTTCCTCTTCTATAAAAGCATTCCCTTTATACATTAAATTTTTAATATAGAAATCTTGAATAAAGTTATCAATTTTATTTATTTCATATTTTTTTTTAATTATTTATATCTTTAAAAAGTACGCAAACATTGCAGGGTTGAAAAACGTAATATCACAGTGTATGGATTTATTTAAAATCAATGAATTAATTTTCTCTTTCAATCTTGAACATGAGGAATTGCCTCATGAACATTTATATCATTATGCAGAATGGCAAGAAATGTGGATAAATGGATAAAAATAGAAAATTCCGCTTTAGAGACAATAATATCTAATATGCATTTACGCCATTATGATTTTTTTATATTTGATTACACAAAAATTGTGGTCATTTATCTATATGTCTAACAAGCCTGAGTGCCATCGCCTGATGAGTCTAATAATATGCATTTTGAGAAAACCAGGGAGTTTCAAAGCATACTTATAATCTGCAAAATTGACTGTTCTTTGTTAATTACCATGAGGCCCTCTTATCATATAATAAAAACAGTCCTTTTCAGAAAATACCAATACACAGCATGATTTGAGATTGTCCTCTTCAATAAAAGTATCCCTTTATAAATTAAATTTTTAATATTGAAATCATGAATAAAGTTATCAAATTTATTTATTTCATGGAAAATTTTAATTATTTATATCTTTAAAACATATGCAAGCATTACATAGTTGAATACTAAATTATCGCAGTATATTGATTGTTTTAAAATCAATGTATTAATATTTTCTTTCAATATTGAACATGAGGAATTGTCTCCAAGTTGTATATTATAGAAATAATATTTTAGCTTAAATATAAACCTTTCCTTAATTTGTTTGAGCTTATGAAAAAAAGTTATGTTGTTACAAACTAAATTAATTGGGCCAGAATTATCACATTGATTTTCCCATTTGTACTCAAGAAAAATTGAAATACATGGTCATTAAAAAAGTTTTAAAAACAATTAATTATCCATTACAAAGCATATTTAAATTTAACCTTATTAATTCTATAGATTTGATTTTAAGGGGTATTATTTTACACTTACAGTTAAATACTGGTTAATAAAAATTTGATTATAATAAATAAAAGAAAAAAAATAATTTTAAGCTTTAACATGATAGCACCTAAAATTTTAAAACTGCTGATTTTAAAATTTACTTATTTATATTCATGAATAGGCCATATATTCCCAAAGTTTTTTTTTCTTACAGCAGTTTAACAATGGATGCCCCCTCACCCCTGTCACTTGATGTGCAATTATCCAATAAATCATTTAGGTGTCACCTTCCCTGGTCATATGGTCTAGCTAGTGCACTAGAAGTGCACACGGTGTGCACTTCTAGTACAGCTCTAGTGAACTAGAAGTGCACAAGGGTGGGAAGTTTAGTGTGAACTCAACTGTATTTATTATTATAAATAAACACATGCACGAAATAAATGTCTACGACAAAATGTCAATCTTTACATATTTCAGCTAGTGAACAATTGTCAAATGATTAATAAATATTATTATACTTGGAGACAGTAGATTCTGATCCCGTACTCCCGTTGATACCTATATGTCAAATGATCAGATATCAGGATCTTTATATGTTTAATAAGATCCCGAATTCCATGCAGTCTTTCTTAAAGCCACCACTGATGAATTTTTCACAGCCCAATTTTTTTTAAGTTCATAATGGCCAAGAAACTAGCTGTACTACATGATGCTATTTTAAATATGTGTATATTTCATAGCTATATGGAACCGCATATACTGCATATATAGTGAGCAATAATATTATATTAATATTTAAATTTTGAAGAAAATAAAACTAAGAGTTGCAGACTTGCATGGTTTCATTGTGTCTACCAGAGACATAGATAACATGATTATCTATGTCTCTGTGTCTACTAATGAGATACATTTAATCACAGATATATATTTAGCTCCATGATAATATACAACGGGAAATGCAACTTTTTACGTCCCCACGGAGCTTTATATAATTATACAGTATAGGTATTTTTGTAACGCCCCTAATCAGCACCAAAGTTTTTTGTATTGATTATCCTGAAAGACTCTGGAAAAGGAGATCGCTGTTTAAGTATCATTACAATATGCAACATTCCACAACCCGGCACATTTCATGTGTTTCCTATCAAGTAATTTAGCGTCCATTTGCAAAGTTTGAAACTTTCCGTTTTTTATTTGTTCGTTGTTTTTTAGGTAAGCAAGCGCCTTTGATACCAGGAATAATTTCACGACCGTATACTGACATAGAAATCGGATGGATCTTACATAAACGTGAAAGTATTTGATTTGTAAGTTTATTCTTATATTTTAATTTTCTTGCAATATACAACTGTTAAAATATTATATCAGTAACAATATCTTGCTATTGAAATTATAAATAAAATCCTTAATTTCAGCTTCTAAATGTTGTCAGTGTTGTGGGTGGGGTTATATTTTGTGGTTATGCAACCATAAAGCTGACGGTTTACGTAACCAAAAATAAATCGTATGTCAAAAATAAAGTTCGGTGTAGAATAATGTAAGTATTTCAACAATAGTACTAGTTGTCAGTTGCTGGAAATACAAATATTCAGGAAATTGCCTAAGTTCATGTAGAGGATTGAGCCCCAACAATCTGGAATTGTGGACTCAGTTTGACCCATGATCATTTGCTTGAAAGGACACATACATGTAACTTATGATTTGTTTATTGACTTTTCAGACTGCTGTCGAACAATATGATGATGAGAGGAAAACTTTTGTTATACAAGGCATTACGATTCAGTGGAGTGCGGCTGTATTCTTCAAAGTCCAGGCCAGCAATAAGAGGCAGAACTCCTTGTTCAAATCATGCTTGCTGTAGCAATATTTTAAGGGAAAATTACTGTAGCAATATATTAAGAGAAGATGACAGCATTTTAAAGGTTAGTTTTATTTTCTAACATTTGTACTTGATATAGATACGGGTATGTGAAAAGATTGAATGCCAGAAGCAAAAAGATAATTGTTTATTATGCTGCAACTACTTTCTGTTTATTGTTAGACTGACCCTAACTAAAATGTAATGATACATAAATGTGTACATGTAGTTATTTTCTTAATCCACAGATTTGCAATTCCAACATTATTTTCACATTTCAGTGTTACTGGATATAGTCATATACACAGTAAAGTATTAAAACAGTGTTTAATTTAAACAGATAGAAAAATCATTAATACAAAAATCTAAAATATTTCACTGTTACTGTGTTATATTTACTTTTGTACAAAAATGAAAATCACTGTAACTTAGTGTAAGTTGTAACTGTACTTATTATAATTATATAAAAATAAACAAAGAAAGGCAAACAAAGTTTGCTTAAGCTCAATTGCCAATAAAACTAAGTTATCAAATCAGTATTTTTTTCTGAAATTGTAACAGGACAATAACTTTAGAAAGTGTTTGAGAAAATAAAAATAATAGCATTATTGGAGCAAATTGGGCCTTTAAACTTTCTGCACATAAAAAGCATATCATCTGTACCAATTTTTTTTTTCAGAGAGATTACTCAACCCCCAAAAAAGAAGAATTCATCAAAAATGTTGGATTTTTTACCAGATTTAAAGAAAATTTAGGATTTAAAGGCACATTGAGATATTATCCAATGGTAAAAACTTGTTTATTAATTCTTTATTTGTTTCTTATATTCATTGAGATAGTAGAGCCTTAATGGCAGATTTTAAAAAGTTGCTGAATAAGGCTTATTTGCCTCACACTCTGAGTTCTTTCATGCGAGGAAACTATCACGGTAGTTTACAGGAAGGCATTTAGCATACTCAGAGGACTAAGTTACAACTTGTGACTTAAGTAATGTAGGGTGTGGCACCTGATATCTTCTTCACCAATAACACAGGGAAGTCTCTGGATGACCTGTACAGTGTAACTGTCTGTATTACATGAAACCAAATAAAACAAAAAACAAAAAATAGATTTACTTGTATTAGGTTAAAATATAAACAATTGTTATAAAATTGATTAGGCAGCAAACTTAGCAGAGGAATGGCATACTGTGCTTGTTTTCAACTTGGTACTAGTTGTTGGTGTGACTTCAAATTGAACAAACAAACTTTAAATCATTCAGTTGCTTAATTATTCTTATTTTACACAATATGACATTGTTTCCAGATATTTACCTTACAGGGTATGTCAGTCAAGCTATCACAAGTGTAGTACATGTAAGACAAGGCACTCATGAAATTATAGTTGTGTAATGTACATTATATTATCATAATTAGCGACTTGTTATTGTACAGAATGGTGTGAGATATATATAAATATACAAATCATTGGAACACTACCCTTTCTCTGGAAACAGAATGGTTTGTGAATTTTTTCATGGTTTGATTATCTGATATATTGAAGCAACCACTGTATTCAGAAATCAAATGCTGTATATTTTAACTTACATGTAGTCCCCCAACCCAAACGCTTTATACACACATACATTTGTATTTTCAATGTACATTTGTATTTGTATTTTTCTCACAGGTTTCTAGAGTTTTGTATATAATACACATTTTATTAAGAGGGTATGGAATTCAAGAAAAACAGTGCTTTTGCTTAAGTGTAAAATACTAGTTTGAAAAGTGAGAAAATCATAAAGCATAATTACAAATGTACATGTATTATTTATTTGTAGACATTAAAGTATAGTGGTTTTCGACTGTATCTATCAGCAGCTGAAGCATCACGATATAACAATATCTATGATTGTAAGTAACACTGTTCCATACATCTCTATTCTGTCACATCAGACTGGAAAATGTCATCATACAACTTGTATAAGGTGGCGTCAGTCTGACATCGTTAATGAATATTAAAGTTGTGTGCTTACATATATTAATAAGTCACAGCTGCTTAGAATGATGTTAAAAAAAAAATCTGGAAACAAAGTGATCCCTCGGAAGCATTAATCACAACAAAATTACAAGAGGACTGCAGACCGGTTTGATTGAGTCTGTACATGAGGGATAATGATAATAGCTGCTTAGAATGATGTTAAGTCATATTTTAATAGGCTATATTACATGTATAAGAAAAAAATGCTAATGAAATATTAGCATTATTTTTTGTTAAATCATTTTGAAAAATGATTTATGTGTGACATAAGTGAAAAAGAATAAAACACAGAAGAAAATATCTGACATATTAGATCTATAAGATTTTTAAAATTAAGAAATTGATTAAAATCTTTATTATTTTTTTCATTTATAAAATCAATCAAATCAGGATGACAATACTTGACTGTAAAAAAGATAAATACTTGTAAGGTGTCAGAAATTTATTATTATTAATTTTACTATTAAGTTAATAGATCATGGTTAGAAATCTATTTAAATCTATTTCACTTATACATTGTACATAAACATGCCTCCCATCCACCCTACTCCTTTAAAAAAGAGGATGGAAATTTTGGTCATGTTCAGATTACTGAAGTGGCAAATAACTTCTTATAAAAGAATGAGAACTATTAACATTGTATGTTTCTATTTTTGATAGATATAGATCTTCCTGATACGATGGCATCCTGGCATAAATTGACATGTCTGCATGTTTGGTAAACTTCATATTTTATTATAAATATTCTGCTAATTATTAGTTTTTGAATTTTATCATTCAGGGCTTCTGTGGCTGAGTATTCATAGTTGTCAACCTCAAACCACATGCCCCTGAATGTTGTGAGTTAGAATCCCATCAGGGACTTTGGACTTTTTCATGTGAGAAAGCTACATGTATCCAGCAAGATCAGTGGTCCTACTCAAGTGCCCACTTTTACCTGAAATTATGTAAATTATGTAAAAAAGGCACCCAAGGTCTTCATCTATCAGTAAAGCTGGAAAGTCATCATAACCATGGCCGTAACAATATTGATGTGAATTTAAATTGAACAAACGAACCTTTTAGGGTAGTTGAAGATTTATGTAGAATAATTATACATGTACATATTAGCAGTGACTAGTGAATATTTTATCTAGGAACATTTTATCCTGTTTTCTAATTTCAAGGTACAAAATTACAATATTCATTTCTGTTATGTTAAACTTTTTGTTTGATTGTTTCTAAAATTAAATGACAAAGTAAGCACATATAAACAACATGAAAGTGATTTTTAGCTCACCTGTCACAAAGTGACATGGTAAGTTTTTGTGATCACTTTTCGTCCGTCATCCGTCCGTAAACTTTTACTTTAAATGACATCTCCTCATAAACTCCTAAGTCAACTTCATCCAAACTTCACAGGAATGTTCCTTTGGTAGTCAACTTTAACAATTGTTCAAAGAATTTAATTACAAGCAGAACTCTGGTTGCCATGGCAACCAAAAGGAAAAACTTAAAATATCTTGAAAACCAAAAGAATAAGAGCTTAAATATTTGGCATGAAGCATCATCTAGTCAGTGTCTACCAAGTTTGTACATATAAATGCACTGAGGTTAAAATTAGCCCCTTCCCGGGGGTCATTGATTTTCCTTATTTGTATAAAGTAAAAACTTAAAATATCTTCTCTTAAAAACCCCAAAGAGCTAGAGCTAAGATATTTAGCATGAAACATCTTCTAATAAGTGTCTACCAAGTTCAAAAAAGGGCCCTGGGGTTAAAATTGGCCCCGCCCCAGGGGTCATTGATTTTCCTTATATGTGTATACACATGTAGTAAAGTCTTAAAAAATCTTCTTATAAAACACCTAAATGGCTAGAGTTTAGATACTAAGCATGAAATATCTTCTAGTGAGTGTCTACCAAGTTTGTTCAAATAAGTGCGCTGGGGTCAAAATTGGCCCCTCCCAAGGGGGGGGGGTCGTTTTTTCCTCTATATGTTTATAGTAAAAACTTTTAAAATCTTCTTATAAAAACCCCAAAGAGCTAGAGCTTAGATATTTATCATGAAACATCTTCTAATGGTTGACTACCAAGTTTGTTCAAATATAAGCCCCTGGTTTAAAATTGGCCTTGGCCCAGGGGCCTATAAGCAAATGCGATTTCAGGGCCATTATGGCCCTCTTGTTTAAGATTGGGCTTTTGTTGTTGAGTGATTTAGGTTTTCAAATCACTTGCCTCTCACAGCTTTAAGTTTGAATCCAGTTAGGGACATTTTGGTTACATTTGTATAAGAAAGCTATTCAGCTAGCATACATGTAGACAGTCAGTGGTTCTTTACAGTTGCTTTCTTGTGAGGTATTTGGATTCTTTCATGTGAGGAAACATCTCCAGCTAGCATATATAATGTCTGTGGTTTAACTCAGGTGCCCATTCATGTCTGGAATAATGCACAGAGGGGCACCTGAGGTCTTCCTCCACCAGTAACACTATTACCTATACAGCTTTGATGAGACATAAAAATAAACCAAAAAATTGTCTGGCTCCACAAGTAAAGCTGGAAATTGCATTAATTAGAATGTAAGCATAACTTTAAATACAACAAAGAAGTACATGCATGGGAAAGATGTTTCATTTATCATACCTCAACATAGCAGGTTACATTTTGTACTGGCCAATAAGGAAAGTCCGGTGATAAATCTTTAAACATATGATGATATTATTGTACTAGGTTGATAATGGTACGGGTATCAACAGAAGGACGTGAGGGTAGAATTTTACGTGATCAAGTCATAGAAAATCTCATTACAGATACTAAAGCTAAGGCTAGGATGCTAGGGGTAAGCATGTTTTATTTTTACTACCATCTATTTTCATTATAAGTCAAATGTTTATATGTAATGATTTTGTATTGGGCAGTTTTTTTTTAAGAAAATTTCTCTTCTAGTAAATGAAGTGTATGTTTTTTCTCCCTGAAAGTTTTGGATGGAATGTATTGTTGCGATCCTTTGACAGTTTGACCTTAATGCTTACTTGTCTGTATCTTTATTCTACAGTCACACGTAACTGTAGATTACTTACACCGAGATCAATTGTGGTAATTTCACCTTGCCCTAGCATTGAACCAGTGACCCCTGGATTTAAAATCTGATACTCTCCAATCTGAGCTATAAATGGTTAATCTCTGGACACTTGGTACTAATAACATGGCAATGCCAGCACTACAGAGCTATGCAAGTGTATATTTATACACCAACCTGCTAAGCTCAAGCAGGAAAGCATCAGGGTTAGATGCAGGGGTTGTTGGTTTGATCCTTTGACATGGTGTAATTTCGCAATGACAAATTGATTTAGGATATTAAGTTTAAATGGTCATATTCTTTCATGACTGATGCAAGTTTCAAAAAGGATTTGTAGTCAGTCACTTGCTGTTCACTGTTCTAAATTCAAAACAGCAATTTTATTTTACAGCTTAGCTAATGGTCAATTATATGTTGATATATTAATGTTTGCAGAAAGAATTAGATATCAGAGTACAAGCTGGTGACCTAGATTTATTACATACAGAATTCTTGGCAGCATTAGGAAACTATGATGAGGTAGGTAAAAGCCTGGTAATCTATTAAAAAAGCCTGTGAATCTATTAAAACCAATTTATTTTAGTTCGATTGTGTTGGGAGCTATAAGTTTATTGAAACACTCTCGATCTGTTCCTTGAACCAACTGGTACTAAGCAATGAGTGTAAAGTTTCTTGCTACAGATACAACAGCTGACAGGCTTTGAACTCACGCAGCCAGCAATACTATCCACTCGGCCTCACTGCAACACTATCTTACACTGTCTATTAGTAAAGATGAAAGTAACTGTTTAATGCTCAGATGATTTACCAAAGTGTTGAGGTTGCTATGCTAAGGTTTCAATTGTGTCAAAGACTGGTTTCTCTAATGCTTGAAAGCTATTTGCTCGATTGTACGGAAAATTATCCAAAAATAGGCATGTGATGTCTTCCTCCACTGGGAAAGATTGTGAGTCAATCAAACAAACACTTATTTATTTACATTAAATCTTATAAGATATGGAAAAAAACATTCTGTATATCACAGAACATATATCATCTTTAATGTTACAATTGACAGGGCTTGTTGTTAGATGACAAAGTTTTAGCTGCATCCCTCTGGAGATCATTATTCACTTTTAGACAAGATATAGACCCCAGACACCTTGAGATTATGGTACAATATGTACGGAAACAGGTTTAGTATTTTGTTTTCTTCGGGCCCTTGTGATTACAGTGTTTAGCTTTTACCACATTGTGCTCAGGTGAGGTATTGTGATATGTGACAAGTTGTGTCTCAAACAATTACCTTCAGCCCTTAAATTAAAAGAAAAATCCAATAAATCATACCTTTCTGACTATTTACATTCTAAACATGAACGGCATGAACTGAAGTTGCCTTTATACATAACTGTCTGTAAATAACAATAAAGCCATTTTAGCTGCACTATCCAAAGAATAGTCACACTTTGGTTAAGTTTTTGCTTGCAAGTTGGTATCTCCATAACAACTGAAAGGAATGGGTCGAAACTTTCCAAACTTGTTTTTTATGACTATCTTATAGCTCAAATCCCATAACTCAGAGTTTCTTTTTAAGAATGTTATGCGCTTTTTTAACTGTCATGTACTGAGCACACTATCTAACAGACAGCTCATGTTTGACATCTTTTGCAAAAGTAACATGAAGCACCAAAAATATGTTAGACATCAAGGTTGTATACACATTACTACACATATAATGCTAACTTTTAGACCTCAATGGTAGAGTGGACACAGCTGCTGACTTTCAGTCACATTCCCGACATGCTAATGGTTTGAATCCTACCACAAACATTTAATACTTTCATGTGATGAAGCAAACCAGATTATAGACCATTCTTTGCTCTACTCAGGTGCTTGCTTTTGCCTGTAATAATGCATGGAGGCGCATTAAGGAATTCATCCATCAGGGAAGTTTGCACATTGCCACATGGTGTTTATAATGTCTATGTGACTTGAAAAATTAAAACAAAACAAAACCTTAAATTATGCTAGAAACTTTTTATCTAAAAGATTTTCATATACAATCCATGTACTTATTTCGTTTTTTTGCTTTGTTGATCAGGTGCAGTTTTTACAGAAGATGCAAAGCAAATTTATATTAGCAAATGGACTAATTCCTTTCCTGCCTATAGAAGGAGACATAGTGCCTCAATCAACAAAAGACAGACTGAAATCTCTTAGTGAAGCTAAATTACAACATTATACAACCAGAGGTTAAATTTTTCATGCTGATGATCTCACTTCACACTTTGTTTTTCTACAGTTGAAGGTTCAGTATTACGTCCTGAGAATTGACTGGTTGTTGTTTTGAACAAAATCAAGTTTACGAGGTAGATGCTATTTATATATAGATAAGAGTATTACTCAGAAAGAGTTATCAATTTTGATATTGTTAAAACAGCTTGGTATATTGTAAAACATGAAATCTTTAATATCATGATCATTGTAAATGAGCAATTGAAAAGGAAAAAAATATCTCCAAAAAATCATGTAATCCAGATATAACATTCTCATCCTCTATGATGGCACATGTAATTTAATGAACATTTGACTAAATCTACATTAAATGTTTGAGAATGAAAGTTGGGACACAGTCAAATTTTGAAGAGGAAGTGGCACCGACTAAGATGAATTTGACACAGTCTATAATTTTGATAAGTTTATGGATAGACTTTTGTTGAAGGTTAGATAGAAACAAAGTGTAGTGTAGTAAGTACCAGAGAAATATTGAAATACTTTTAAATGAAACCCCCTAATCTGTGATAAACATTTGCCACTTGATTTGAGCCGAGCCAGACCTAACCCTCATACAGTCGGACAGGCTCTATATTATTGGATGATCTTGAGTTTCCATCTTGATATCCCAAAATTAATAACCAACAGTTGAGGCATCACTGTCCTTCATTCAGGTACATGATTCTTTATTTGAAATATCTTTGAAACAAAGAATGGTTTTAATTTGTTAATTTAAATATATATAAAGTGGTCATTAGAAAGCACAAAAGGGGAAGTTTCATTGTTTGTCAATTTTGTTTAACATAAGTTATTTTCCCTTTTTAGTATAAAAAAATGGCCTGAAATTAAAAATTACTTTAAAAATTTTATAAACAAGTACAAGTATAAATCTTTTAGCAAGTTAACAACTACAACTCTTACTTGTGCTTTGATTTAGTAAAGCCGCTTTATTAATTTCACTGTTTTTATTGTTTGTTTTGTTTTACCAATTTTTCACAATCATTGTTAAATATTTATTTTTCAAACCTGACTCAACTAGTCAAAATATTTGGACAGAGATTATTTCATTTCATATTTCTTTTTTTTTTTTACCTAAATGTAAATGGACAAATGAATTGCATCCAGTGATAGATCAAGGTTTATCTGTGAAAAGAAATTGTAACAGTTGTTGTCAAGAAACAAGCAAATGACTTGATATCAAACTTGATATATTGTCCTCTCATATTCACGCAAAATATTCAGTTTATTTGTAGGCATTATTTGGAGACTTATTTACTGACTGTCTTGAACTACCTCTTTCTTTTATCAATTTTCAGAAATTGTAAATTACTGTTATAATCAATTTTTTGAAAATTGAATCACTTATAGGATCAGTAAAAGCAATTAACATAGGAAAGCAAATCACAGTATCAGATTTTGAGAAAAGCTAAAAACACCATGAACACACAAGTTTTTGGTATATGCATCAGTGTATGAGAAAAGTTAAAGAAGAAGGGAAGAGATTGATTGTGTGTTCAATTCCAAATATGAGGAGTATTATATTGTATAAATGAGCCGCGTCATGACAAAACCAACATAATGGGTTTGCGACCAGCATGGATCCAGACCAGCCTGCACATCCGTGCAATCTGATCAGGATCCATGCTGTTCGCTATCAGTTTCTCTACTTGTTATAGGGTTTGTAAGCAAACAGCATGGATCATGATCAGACTGCGCGGAGGCGCAGGCTGGTCTGGATCCATGCTGGTAGCAAACGCATTATGTTGGTTTTGTCGTGATGCAGCTCAAATATTCATTGATGAAATATTTTGTTTATATATTTATTGCACGGAATAATTATTTTTCCATGCTTGCATTTATCAATGAGCAGTTTTCAATAAAAAAAATATGGCAAAAAGTAATGTTTGTTTAGTCTTTTTTAAGGAATTTAATTTGGAAAAATACCATAAACGAGTTTGTTTTTGGTGGATTGTAAGTCAAACCAACAGTGTACCGTATTTATGACTCTAAGGCAGTGATTTGATCTCCTATTTTGAAGACAAAAATGTTTCCTTGTCTTATAAACAGATCATAGATGTTGACTACGATTTTTCTGACAACTTTTTAAAACAACTATGTCTCTTTACTATAGAAGAAAAATTAACGTAACAAGATTTAGATCGTCATGAGAAATGGAAAGGCAGAAAGCAAAGATGACACAAAAAGATTCACTGCCGCAACACAAATTTTTATTTTGTAAAATTATAGCATATACAAACAAAGTGTTTTCACATAAAACATCATCATAAATTGCTGAAATTATAAAAAAAATCATGGGATAACATAATAACATCTAATGGACCGGGATACAAGAAATTAAATGCACATAGTCCTAACAGACAATATGTACTTTGGAATCTTAAAAGATGATACAGAAAGAAATGTTGCAAATGAAAGACAGGTATAAATCATGTAAGAAAACTTCATAACTGTGAACAGCTAGTGTATTTACCACAACATATAACCATTTATACCATAAATGGACTTGACCTCCTAAAATTTGGGAATAGTCTAAACTCCATTGCTAAAATCTGTGATTTTGATAAAATACAAACAAGAGGTCCAGTAAACTATGACAAGGAGAAGAGTTTTAATCTATGCTTTTGACCTTTACTTACTTTTAAGACAATCCAGATTTTCATTTGTTCAAATATGATTAATTTAACAATATCATGCAAGTTTCCCCCAGACTTACGGTCTTATACCTGGTTATGGTTTCTTGAAAATTAAACAGATAACCCCAGATGACCTACATGTATACTGGAATTGAGTCATCACCCAAAATTGTCACAAGATGTCAGGAAGACAAATTTCTTACAAAGACATTCTTCGCAAGTTTTATAGGACATAAAGAAACATGTCAACAAGATATTAATATGATTATATTAACTAATTTTTACCTAAGAAGAGCAAATAAAACATTCTGACAAAGTTTGATGACGATCCAGTCAAGAAATTTAACTTCACTGAATTGCAGACCACTAACAACTGACCAATGCTAGAATCTTGCCTTTGAGCTGTATATGTGCAGATGACCTTGAACTGTAGCCAATAAAACAGATGCTTAGACAACAGCATGTGCAAGCAGGCTAGCCTCGGTACCAGTAAACAAAGGGGAATTATTGCTACAATCATATGAAAAAAATCACAAAAAAACTAACCTAATGATAAGTATGTTTGATGGAAAATGCCCATATAGTACTGTAAACTAAGGCCTTCTAATACAAAAGCAATTAAGTATGATATTTTTGTAAGCTTTGTTTAACACACCAGACTTTGTGTTCTCAAAAAATGTTCCAACAAATTGTACACAAAAACACAATAAAACTGGAATTCTTTTAGGTTTCTTGGAATGATTTTACAGGTAATGGCTTGCACTCTCCATAAACTTTAACAAGATCTTCTTCCATTTTTTTCTTTTCCTCTTCTGTAGCAAAGCTTGATCTTACTGAGTTAAATATCTGGGAAAGTAAAGAAACAAGTTTACTTGTTATGGCCATTAACAAATCACTCTAGAATTTTACAGTTAAAATACTGAAAGTAATCTTGTTAGAATTGTATACTATTAAAATCTAACATGGTTTGATTAGTTTGTTGGCCTCCAACTTAATTTGTCAAAATTATGGCCAGAATGAACTGTGCTGTGACAAAAAATGCGAAGAGACCATTGAATGAGTTTGAGGAATCAAAATCCATTTTGGATCAACTGTAAAATGCCCATATTTTGGAAAAATAGTAATTTTTTTCTAAAATTTCATAAACATGCCATTTGAAGTACAATTTAATCAAGATATTATTTAATATTTCATCTATGAGGATAACAGTGGAAAATATTTGAGTTCTTAAATTTAATCCTCATCTTGATCCTGACCCTTAAATCTTTGTGAACACTCTGGTGAGCACAATATTGTTTTATTCAATGAATTCAGCATTGAACCTCTCAAATATATAATTCTATTTCACACTGTCATTGATATTCCTTTATTACATTAACTTATTGGATGAGATTTTGTCATATACGTACCTTTACATGTCTTTGTTTACTTGTAGGAATCTTGATATTTCGATTTCGAGTTAAGGTTTCTGTATACAAGTGATATCTTAAATGCATTGCATATTGTGATGTTGGATAAATGAAAATATTTCACCAATGTTCATTGTTATATATAATGTATCTGCTTTTTTGCTTGTTATTTGATTTGTATTTGATTTGTATATATGTTCATGCCATTCAATTTTGGAGGAAATAAAAGTATCTATCTATCTATCTATCTACCCCTGCCTTGTATTTCACAACTTACACCCCTTATGCACCCCTGCCTTGTACTTCACAAATTAAATCTCTAATGCTCCTACCTTGTTTTTCATAATTATGACCTTATGTTTCCTCTGTCTTGTATTTCACAACTAACACCCCTTATGCTCCCCTGCCTTGTACTTCACAAAATAAATCTCTTATGCTCACCCTACCTTATATTTCCCAAAAGATGACCCTAATGCTCCTCCTGGCTTGTACTTTACAATCAATTACTTTTATGCTCTCTCAGTGTCATTTTGATGGTCAAAGTAAGATTAAAAAAGAACAGTTACCCCTCGAATGATGTCATCATCTGTGAGTCCCATATCTTGAGCAAATTTATAATCATCTGTCAATGTATTCCCTAGTACTACTGGATCATCTGTGTTGATACCGTAGTTAATACCATCTTTCACAAACCTATCAAAACATGAAAGTAAATGTAATATAAATATACAAAAAGAATCACAAAATCTAATTAATTTCAAAGACATAATTGAGCCGTGTCACGACAAAACCAACATAATGGGTTTGCGACCAGCATGGATCCAGACCAGCCTGCCCATCGGCGCAGTCTGATCAGGATCCATGCTGTTCGCTATCAGTTTCTCTTCTTGTTAAAGGGTTTGTAAGCGAACAGCATGGATCCTGATCAGACTGCGCAGGCTGGTCTGGATCCATGCTGGTCGCAAACATACTATGTTGGTTTTGTCGTGACGCGGCTCATATACTTGAATCATCATGCCATGTCAGTTGGATTTAATGGCACATCCACATACATTGGTCAGCTATTTTGATGAAGGAAGACCTTTTCATGAAAAATTTTCCACTGGTTTGGAGAAATGTTTTAAACAAGAAGGAAGATGTTTGAGGCTTAACGTTTGTATTTTATTATTGAAATCCCTTAAACTTTTAATGAACTGTCCTAAATTCAAAGTAGATCAAATTAATTTAGTTAAAGTCACAAAGATACATAAAAGATCAAATAGGGAGTTTCCAGACTAAATAAATTATATCAGACTTTGGAAAAACTTCAATATTTTGTTAGTTTTGAGTACTGCATGATGATGTAACATCATTTTAACTTACTGTCTAAGGGGATGTTTTTGAATATCTTTATCACAAGCTTTAGTCATAATGCTGGATATAGGACAAGTCTCTAGATGAATCTGATTTTGTAATATAACATTGTATACGTCTGGGTGACCTATAGAACCATATCCATGCCCGATTCTTTCTGCACACATGTCCTCTAATGCCTGAAATAAAACGCTTATATTTTAGCACATAAATATGGAGTTGATTTTTGTCAGTGTCATATTAAGACAGTGGTTTATTATTGGAGACTGATTTATGAGTGTAGGGATAATATGTCCCATGTGATTTATGGCCAACATATCAACATAGAGTTTTAGGGTTTATATTTGCGTGTGATTTAATGTCAGCACACAATTTTTTTAAATTTGTATGTAAGTCTGCTAGTACATAAAAATTCGAGTTTTATGTGTAGGGACCAGATCACAAAAGTGTTAAATTGTGATCAAACAATGGCTTAATGTCAGAATAATCATGGTTTAACATATACATGTACATGTATTTAGAACTTTGCTCAGGCATATATGCCGTTATCATTTATATGATAATAATTGGACAATTAAAATGAAGTACATGACTGTACAAAGGGCACAGATTTTCATTGAACAGAAGCATATTTCACAAGAGAATAGCATCTAGTTTTCTCATTTGACAAAGAGATGAAAAATAGCCAATAATATACCTGCTTTACATTAGCAAAAGTTAGGAATCAGACACAAAGAACTTGCTTTGGAGCACAAGATTGAGTCAAGAGTCACTAACATTTTAACAGGTGTTTCACAACATAAGGAGACATTTAAGTATCTTCAACACAGCAAAAAATATATTTTAACATAGATACAGTACCCAAAAGTACTCAAGATTATGTTTATTCAATAAAATTTTTATTAGACAGCCTTATGTACAAGAACAATAATATATCTTCGATTACCTCCTGAACAGCCTTGTATGTCCCTATTTCTCCAGCATGGACTGTTCGTCGTATACCCCACTTGGCAGCTTCCTAGTTCAAATAAACAATAATGCTAATCTAAATACACAGATACACTAACATACATAGCAAGGGAGGCAACCATCTTTTGGTTTTACATAGACATCTGTAGAATATAATTCAGAAATAGGTTGTATAATATAACATAATATAATATAATTTTTTAATATTAAAGATACAAGTAGCCTTCAGTATGTCTAATATCAGTAATTTGTTACATATAACAGACTTTATTCAACTTGCCTATAGATATTTTTCAATATGTACTTGACTGTGCTTGGGACATGTACATTTTTTGTAAGTACTATATCTATATTTTTACTGAAATGCTTGCTTGTGTTCACTTATTTGCCTGAAATGATTGCTTGTGTTCACTAATTTACCTGAAATACTTGCTTGTGTTCACTATATATACACCTGAGATGCTTGCTTGTGTTCACTTGTTACCTAAAATGCTTTTTTGTGTTCACTATTTACCTGAAATGCTTGCTTGTGTTCACTATCTACCTGAAATGCTTGCTTGTGTTCACTTTTTACATGAAATGCTTGCTTGTGTTCACTATTTACCTGAAACGCTTGCTTGTGTTCACTTTTTACATGAAATGCTTGCTTGTGTTCACTATTTACCTGAAATGCTTGTTTGTGTTCACATTCATTAATCTCCTTGCCTGGTACAAACTCCTGACCAGCCAGATCAATTCCCACAACACCTTTACATTTGTACCATTTACACAGATTTACTACCTCCTTTGACCATTCTATATAAATACATATTAATATACACAATGTATAATTTTGTTAGTTGCAAAATGAAATAAAAGTTAACACATACATGTAATTGTTTTAAATACTATTAACCTCCATTTACTGTTTTTGTGGGACAGTAATTAAGGGCAATCAGTTTAAACATTACTTGAAATGCATCTTTAATTTGCCACAGAAAATATTTGTGTTTGCTAAATTTTTGACATAATTTTCTCTTTTTTGCCTTGAAGTCAGTACACTGTCAATAGTAAGAAACCAAGGAAATTAACTTAAGAGTCTGCCATAAGAAAAAGCTTAGTCCAAATAATTTGACTTGTCAGTCATTGAAATAATTTTTGGATGGGCAATGTCCTCAAAGTATGAAAAAGCAGTCTGTAAAATGGGTCAAACCATTCATGTCTAAATTAATTTGGCAATCTGGGCTTGGGTAACAATTGAATACTTGAGGTGTGAATTTTTAATAAGTATAGTACAGACTGTATTATTATAATTGAAATAAATTTGTATCAAGCCAAGGGTATTAAGATACCTTGTCTTATTGACAAAGTTGAAAAAAAATTAACTAAATAAAGCAAACAGTAGTTGTGTAATAGTCGGGCACACTACCTGGTCTATGAGTCATGCAGCAAAGTATAGTGTTTACTTTGACATCAAAATCTCTCATCCCACGTGCTAGAGCCTCGTTTACAGTCTCTACGACATCATGTGGTGTAAACGTGCCTGGTGTCGTAGTAAATGCTGGGTCCTTCAAGGAATTTGACAGTAGATGGGGTGAATAACGTACCTCCATATACTTGATTTTATGTTTGGCACAGTCTTCACATAACTCATATGCAATTCTCTCAACCGCCTTTTTATAACCGCTTTAAAAAAATGAAAAATATCAAATATCAGTATTTTCATATTTATTCACTACATACTTAAGGTTATAAAAGCAACAGTATTATAATACAAGTTTCCTATAGCATCTTAATTATGGCAAATTAACAGATCAAATATACATGTACATCAAAATACAAAATAAGCCTTTGACATGGCAAAAGCTCTGTCAATTCAACCATCTTGTGAATACATGTACTTGCTAATGTAAAGTTCCAAAATTTGAAGCAGGAGAATAAACATTCTTCTCTAGATTTCCATTTTTGACCACTTAATCAGATCTGATATTCAATTCGTTGAAACACAAGGTTAATAAAGACACATTTCAGAGTAAAATACCTCCTTTATTGTGGCCATTTTTGAGATCAGGGGCATGACTAATACGGCTTACATAATGATCCACTAGCAAAGCTTATGCCAAATGTATAAGCCCCCAATGCATTAATTGTAGTTTTACAAAAGTGGCCTTAATTGTATTTTTCTGTACAAGTCTATATAAACTTAGTGGGTACTAGATGTGGCAGGATTTACACAGCTTTTGTAGAGCACCACAAGGCATTGTCACATGCCAAATTTCTATACTCTGAGCAGTTCCTGAGAAGAAGATTTTTAAATATTTCATTTTTAAAGTCCCTGGACCTATTTAAGCATCATACTTGAACCATTTCCAAGTATGTCACTTTTACAGAGGACCCCTAAGCATCATTCCTGTGAAGTTTGGTTTAAATCCATCAAGTACCTATGGAATTATTGCTTAAAGCTGCAGGCCCCCAGATGAGCCAAAATATTTCAAGAAAAAAAAACAATATTGAAAAAATGTATTAAAATTTTATGAAAGGTAAAAACATTCAGGATCTAAGTGAAATCTTACATGTTATGTGTGGTTTAAGACAGCTGTTGCAGTATTTTATCACCATATTTCTACTGTGTTACTAACACAGAAAGGGCTGTTTTTGCATATGTTTACAACTTTTTGGAAATTTTCTTGGAATATAACAACCGATTGCAGTATGTAAATTGCTTTATTTGTTACTCTCAAAATAATTTACTTTTAAATACATTTTAAAAAAATTATGAAAATTAACATGAATCTGGAGTCATGCTGCTTTAAAGAAACTATGGACAATGACATAAGGGGGACAAAATGTCATCACAAAAGCTCACCTAGGAGTATATTAAAGTGCTCAGGTAAGCAAAAAAAAAAAAAACAAAAACAACAAGTGCAACAAACCAACCTGATAATTGGCATGAAATAACTAAAAGAAGTAAGAAATCTCTCGAGACTACTAGGTTCTACAAGGATAACGTCTCTGTTTAATTCTTCTGCTGTCTTATGAGGTAGATCATCTAACATCCCTCTCTCTCTGTAATATATACAAACATGACTCTGACATAATATAATCAATTCTTAACTGTATCCTAAATCCTAGGATATAAGATCAACATTAATTCAAACTTATGACTGTTTCAATAAACATATTTATTATTAAAGATGTTAAGACTAAATAAATGAAATCCTTTCTCTTGAGAAAAGTTTGGAATTACAATCAGATGGTACATGTAGGTGTCTTAAACTGCAACATTTAATGTTCATCTGCATTGCTATTCAGGAATTGAAGGAGTAATTTCAAGGGAGTCATAAGTAAAGACATGTTCTTTGAAACGCAAAATAGTCTCAGTTTTGATTCTTAATTTAGATTCAGATTTCAGACTTGCTATGAAATGCAGTCCTGATTTCTTAAGTCACAGAATCACAGGGCACAGGAAATCACTTAATGTCTTTTTGTCATAATTTTATCAAAATGTTCCTTTTTGTATTAGAAAAAAAAAACAACCAAAAAAACTTTCCCTGTTTCCCATTAATAGACCCATAATGACAGGACAGCTACCTAGATCTCATGTGGTGCCTATATCACCTTTTTACTTCATTTTTAAGGCATGTTAATTGCTGTAATAGAATCTTCACCAACAAAACTATGCAGGGCATATACTGTACCCATAATTATAGAGAAGAAGTCAATTCAGAATATAATTTCTAAAGATATCTGTGTATTGTGTAGGTTCTGGAATAAAATTAACTAAGGTCTTCAGCGTACCCGTTTATATACTATGACATGACATTTAATGCCAAAATATTAATAAGCGGCTTTAAAAGTTTTGGAAGCCAGAACTACTCAGTTAATGATTTCTCTTTACAAGGGAGGTCATCCAATGCATTCTTTCAAATTCAGATAATGACTCCATATAGCTGATACGGCTGATTTTCTAACATACATTTTTCTGCTGTATTCGCTTGCAAAAAAAGTCAGACAATGTGTTCACAGGTATAGGACATGTCACATTCCTGGTAGCAGTGCCGGGTACCACAATGATTATTTTGTTGGGGTTATTATGAAATCGATATTCAGCAACATAATTAAAATATTCCAGACAAACGCTGTGTATCAAGGCTCTTTCCGTCAATGTCCGTCAATGTTCGGATAAGGAGCATGAAAAATGGACCAGTAATCGAAATGTAAGGATATCTTTGTGACATAAGAATGTTATCTTTAAGAGGCCACCGCAAATAGCAGTGTCCCATACCAGCAACAACAGGCAGCTTATCAGCTATCATTATTACACAATGTACAATTCACAATTTGTACAGATTTATAGTGCAATAAAATAGAGGATGCACTTTGATATTAATGGACTTCAAATCAAGCCCCCCCCCCCCCAAACTCCCCCAGAAATTATTTTGATGTTAAAGTGTGCAAACACTTATGGTTACCATTTGTTAATTTAAGAATGATATATGGCATCAAAACAAAATTTAAATAAAAGATACTGATAAGATAAAAGCTGGTTATGGCTCGCTTTAAAATATCAGCTCAGTCAGATTTCACAGAGAAGTCACCATGGTACCTTATCAATATCACAGGCCATCACATATTGGACCAGTCTCCAAACACAACCACACAGTCCCCTGTGCCTGTCCAAAAGTCAAAACCCCCTCCCAAAACTATATACCATAAACTATACATTATCATATAGTCACCGACTTTTTGCCTAAGCCAAAAGTCACCTCATAGTAAAGCTTCAAGGATGGGAAATATAACATTATATTACTTTATATTACAGCTGATGTTATATTTCCCATCCTTGAAGGTGAGTCATCCTTGATCAAAGTCGTTCCGCACGACATTAATGTTGTTTGTGGTACTTTTATTTCTTTCTATTTGTTTTTTTTCTAGTTTGGTGGTTCTAGTATTACTTATTTGAATACTGTATAGTCACCCTAAGGAAATGTTGCTTTTTTAATTTATTTTTTTTACCGCTTATCTGTGATATGCAGGTTTCATAACCTCAGATCCCATTTCAAAGTTCCATTTTTAGTTTCCCCCTTTGTTTACTTGTCTATGCCACATACAATTTTTACCTGGGACCCTTACTTCGCTTTTCATGGCTCTTTTACCTGGGACCTTTACTTCGCTTTTCATGGCTCTTTTACCTGGGACCTTTACTTCGCTTTTCATTGCAGGGCACTAATGTGTCACATGCATGGAAGGTTCCATGCTAACCTCCGTATGAATACATCGGTTAAAGCTTGTGTTAGGTAGCGTGTAGTCTAGCTACATATATACGATACATCAATAGCTCAATCAAACCGAGTCTGCAATATTTTCAGTTTTGCCGTTTTGGGCATATTTTAGGTACTACATGTATTATTTCCTCTTGCCAACTTTTTAAACCGAAATGTCCAGCAAGATGGTCATTTCGCAAAGCTTTGTTAAGCTTGACTTAGTGCGTTAATCGTCCTGATTGTATGTAATATCAACATAATTTCTACCTGGTTCATACAGATTTAACCTTTAAATAGGTGCACGAGACTATCCATATTTGTGGCCTATAGATTGCTTATCTATCTTAACTACAGTACTGTTATGACATTTTCCAGGTGTCAAATCCTGACACCACTTTGCCCGCCCTTGCGTTCTTTAACATTATAACAGGAGTTTGACGTTCAAATCCAACAAAATTCAATCAATACATGTTCTGAATCGAAATTTGATGGTCAACGGTTTTTAGTTTGGACTAGTCCCAACTAGTGCACTAACAAACCCGAAATTTCCAACCATACAGGGTAACGCCCACTGCAGTGACGTTTCATCACCACTATATATGCTATATTGTATTCTAACATTTTTAATTAATTCATGTTAAAGTTGAATTAAAACATGTTTTATCATTGACATTGACACAGATGCCACAATGGTGTTGCAATGATAAAAGTGACTTAATTATAGCTGACAAGGGCTTCGTAAGGTGGGACTAGCCTTTAACCCCCGACGAACCAAATGTCTGTTCTTTTGACCATTGACTTAACGATAACTAATAAAACAAATACGGTTTCCCTTTTTGGAAAAACAGAAAATAAACATGTTTTGAATTCAAGATATTTGTTACTTACTTAGCAATATCTATAACTGTTTCCGGCCGCACGGCGCCATCGAGATGCACGTGTAATTCTACCTGTAAATATCAACAAATCGGTTGAATGAATAGAAAAAAAATGTTCACCGATCTTTTTAGTACAGTAAAGTATGACTACGCTATCATTTGCCCCGGGAACCGTAACAAAATGTGGCAAAAGGGTTACTGATTTCTCAAAAATCATAAAAAAATTAACCTAAAGTCGGTGGTTCTCTTCAGTTGCCCCCGCGCTTAAAATAATAGCCAACTTATCAACAGATGTTTTCCTTCAACAAAAAAGAAAATATTGCAAGTTTTGTGTGACTTTAAATACTAACACAAAAATTAGAAACTACTAAAAATAAAAAAAATAAAAAAATAACATGGCCGTTGAGTTTCAGTAATATAATAATCGAGAAAACGTTACTGTTTTTTTTTTCAAATCCTGTTTCTGAAAGACTACAAGAATATACTGTTTTTTACCGTTCATGATCATATCAACAGATAAAGAGATGATTTACTAGTCAAATCATTAATTTTATTCTGTTGTTTATTTGTAACAACTCTGAGAAAGTCATCCGTTTATCACCTCATGTTATTTCCTTCCTGAATTCCTACACACACAGAGACTATAGGAGACTGTTTTTTTTAATTCATTGTGCAGCGTTGTACTGTCAGTATTTACCAGTCAGTGTAATCTATCAGTATTTACTGAACACGCTAATCTTTTAGTATTTACTGTGCTACAGTACTCGCTTATCTGTCAGTAAGTATATTACACGCTTATCTGTCACTATTCACAGTACTCGCTTATCTGTCAGTATTTACAGTTCTCACTTATCTATCAGTATGTGTAATGCACATTTATCTGTCGGTTTTACCATGTACGCTAAAAAGCCAGTATTAATCATGCAAGGCTTAAGTCCATCCGTCAATGTCAGTATTTACCATGCATGCACGCTTATCTGTCAGTTCTAATCATGCACACTAGTCTGTCAATGTCAGTATTCAACATGCATGCTTATCTGGCAGTATTTATCACGCACGCTAATCTGTCAATGTCAGCATTTAACATGCATTCTTATCTGGCAGTACTCATCATGTACGCTAACATGGCACTGTCAGTATGCAACATGCATGCTTATTTGGCAGTACTTTTCATGCACGCTAACATGTCACTGTCAGTATGCAACATGCATGCTTATCTGGCAGTACTTATCAAACACACTAATCTGTCAATGTCAGTTCTCAACATGCATGCTTATCTGGAAGTACTTATCATGCACGCTAACATGTCACTTTCAGTATGCAACATGCATGCTTATCTGGCAGTACTTATCACGCACTCTAATCTGTTTATGTCAGTATTAAACATGCATGCTTATCTGGCAGTACTTATCATACACACTTATCTGTCATTGTCAGTATGCAACATGCATGCTTATCTGGCAGTATGTACCATGTACGCTTCTCAGTCGGTATTTACCATGCACGCTAATCTGGCAGTATTTACTGTGAACGCTTATTTGTCACTGTCAGTATTCAACATGCATGCTTATCTGGCAGTACTTATCATGCACGCTAATCTGTCAATGTCAGTACGCAACATGCATTCTTATCTGGAAGTATTTATCATGTACGCTAATCTGTTAATGTCAGTATGCAACATGTATTCTTATCTGGCAGTGAGTACCACGCACGCTTCTCAGTCGGTATTTTGTTTGTTTGTTTGTTTCATTTTACGCCTTTTCCAACAGTATTCATATACCATGCACGCTAATCCGGTAGTATTTACCGTACACGGCCCTCGGTCAGTATTTACCGTACACTCTTGTCAGTATTTACCATGAAAATCCATCTGTCATTCTGATTAGGAATTAAATAGTCAATGTTCATGTTCTTGTTCTATTTTACCTATTTTCATTAAAGTAAATAATCTTTAATTGTTCAAATAACTTTTCTTCAAGTTAACCTTGTTCAGAAATCTTGATTCAAGTCGCAAATTTTCAAGTTTAAATGTACCTTGTACGGAAACCTTTTATTAAATTCGGCAATCAGTTTCGCCTCCTCTTCTGGCTCCATAAACTCCATGATTCCTTCCAATGAGCCTCGCTGGTAGAGTTCGAACCTCGAATATGCACCTGTTTGATTGAAAAAAAAAAATGCAAATTATTGGGAAAAAACGTCCTTTACTTCATTAATTTTTCAAACGTAATCAACAAAAATTACAAAAACAGACTTTTGTGATTAAAGTATCATTCTTGCATCGCAAACATACATGTACATTAATTTAATTAATGATTAAAATCACGCAAGCACGTGTCGTTGCTGCACTCTTTTAATAATCGAAACTCTAAGCGTCATGTACACCCGGTATTTTTATAATCAAAACAAGCTGCCAAATGACATCGCACCAGCACGTGAAAAGCATGACAAAACCGATTTCTTCTCGTAACAAGAGCTGTCGGTAGGACAGCATGCTCGACTATTCTTAGTGCTTGATAGTAAAAAAAATGCCTGATACAGTTACCTCCTCCTGTTTACAGGTTGGGGTCATGATGGTGAACAAGTGTGCAAAGTTTCAAAGCCATATGTCAATGGACTTTGAAAATATTTGAACTATTACAAAAACTTTAACGTAAATTCTAAGTCGAAAAAGGGGCATAATTCTGTCAAAATGCTTGATAGAGTTACCTCATCCTGTTTACAGGTTGGGGTCATGATGTTGAACAAGTGTGCAAAGTTTCAAAGCCATATGTCAATGGACTTAGAAAATATTTGAACTATTACAAAAACTTTAACGTAAATTCTAAGTCGAAAAAGGGGCATAATTCTGTCAAAATGCTTAATAGAGTTACCTCCTGCTGTCTACAGGTTGGGGTCATGATGTTGAACAAGTGTGCAAAGTTTCAAAGCCATATGTCAATGGACTTTGAAAATATTTGAACTATTACAAAAACTTTAACGTAAATTCTAAGTCAAAAAAGGGGCATAATTCTGTCAAAATACTTGATAGAGTTACCTCCTCCTGTCTACAGGTTGGGGTCATGATGGTGAACAAGTGTGCAAAGTTTCAAAGCCATATGTCAATGGACTTTGAAAATATTTGAACTATTACAAAAACTTTAACGTAAATTCTAAGTCGAAAAAGGGGCATAATTCTGTCAAAATGCTTGATAGAGTTACCTCCTCCTGTCTACAGGTTGGGGTCATGATGGTGAACAAGTGTGCAAAGTTTCAAAGCCATATGTCAATGGACTTTGAAAATATTTGAACTATTACAAAAACTTTAACGTAAATTCTAAGTCGAAAAAGGGGCATAATTCTGTCAAAATGCTTGATAGAGTTACCTCCTCCTGTCTACAGGTTGGGGTCATGATGGTGAACAAGTGTGCAAAGTTTCAAAGCCATATGTCAATGGACTTTGAAAATATTTGAACTATTACAAAAACTTTAACATAAGTGGTTACGCCGACGCCGACGCCGACGCTCGGGTGACTGCAATAGCTCTACTTATTCTTATCGAATAGTCGAGCTAAAAATCAAATGACGAGACGCAAAATTACCGATTCAGAATGCATTTTTTATGCAAGAATAGCGCTAGAGTGCAATTTTTTTTTGCATTAACATTTGGATAAGCCCTCAGACAAACATTAACTCTTTCGCCCTTCATACTCTGGCTTTGAACGGTTTGAATGGCTGTACTTGTACAGATGATACATCGTCGAAACCATAGGCACTTGGTTTCGGGATAAAAAACCTTTTGAAGGGTTTGTAGGACTCAAATTTGATTGAATGTGACGATTTTTTAACGTAGATGTCTCGATTCTAAATTCGACATTTTTCCGATATTACTAATATCGGAAAAATGTCGAACTTAGAATCGAGACATCTACGTTAAAAAATCGTTACATTCAATCAAAGTTGAGTCCTACAAACCCTTCAAAAGGCTTTTTATCCCGAAACCAAGTGCCTGTGGTCGAAACCCACGTAACAAATTCTGTATATACTACATTTAATTTACATGTTTACAGTAAATAGCCTGGGTTACCGATGATGCAGATGATAATGCCGTGGCCGAGTGGTTAAGGTCGTTGACTTTAAACCACTTGACCTTTACCGCTGTTAGTTTGAATCCCGACAGTGACTTTGGATTATTTCATGTGAGGAAGCTATCCAGCTAGCTTACGGAACGTCGGAGGTTCTACGCAGGTGCCCGTTCTAGCCTGAAATAATGCACGGAAGGGCACCTGGGGTCTTCCTCCACCAGTAAAGCTGGAACGTCGCGATATGGCATATACTGTGTTAATGTGACTAAAACCCAAACAAACAGATGATAATACACGCAAAACTTGCTTTTACCTTATAAATCTATTGAGCTATATAATTTGTCGTTTTTGTATTACCAAATATCGCACTGGATCCCTTCTCTGATGTGTTCCGTTTGGACAGTCGTGATTTTTAATTTAGTCTATTACCGCGATGCACGATGGTACGATGGTGAAAACGCGATGGCACGATGGTACGATGGTGAAAACACGATAGTACGCTGGTGAAAACCCGATGGTACGATCGTGAAAACGCGATGGTACGATGGTGAAATCGCGATGGCGCGATAGTATGATGGTGAAAACGCGATGTTACGACGCGTTTTCACCATCGTACCATCGTGATTTCACCATCGTACAATCTTGCCATCGCGTTTTCACCATCGCTACATAAAAAGTCACGAAAGTCCAAACGGAACACCATATAAGAGGAAGTACTCAAATTTGAACTTTAAAATTTACTGTATCCTCATGTATTGCCTGTACAAATATTTGATGACATATTGTTAACATTTAAAGTTTAAATTACCCGTCGGTGATTTAATGCCTAGGTCACAAATAAAACGGGCGCCGTCCGATTAAACGATTTTTATAAAAATCGGCCGATTTTTTGATGTCGTGGACGCCGGGCGATTTTAAATCTGATACCTTGCGTGGTCACGAATGAAACAGTCGTCGGCCGATTTTTGCCGAGTGGATTTTACAGAAAGAATTGAACGGATCAGGCGGTCGCCGCCCGATGTCCGTACGGCGCCTGTGCGATTTAAAAGTGAATCGGACGGTTTCCGCGCGGGCGCCGGGCGACAATGACTTTACATTTAATGACATCCTATATAAATCAGCCAGTTGTAATTATGCCAGCAAAGAAGTAAGCTGCCAAACCCAAGGGGAAGGCCAAGGAGTTGGTCCGTGTTGTTGACAACGAGTCACCAACGGCCAGTATCGAGGCCGTAGAAGGCGAAAATCAATCAGACATTCGCATGGACATTGAAGAAAAAATTCATGTTTACTAGTATTCAAAAGAAATTCACAAATATATTTTTGAGGCAATTACAACTTCTTCAAGCTGAAATTACAACAAACACAAGCAGCCCGGTCGCCGGATGACAAAACGATGACCGCCCGGTGCCTGTACATGAATCGTCCAGGTACCGGGCGATAATCGTTTGACTACTTAGCTCTATTCAGGCACCGGGCGGGGCCCGGCCGATGTCCGCCCGGACGCCTTTTAAATCGGACGCTGTTTTAGTAGAACAAAAAATCGCCCGATCAAAAAAATCATCGCCCGGTCGCCGCCCGGCTACCGAACGATGTCCGCTCGATGATATTTATACTCAGTGACCCCAAAAATTATCGTCCGGCCGCCGTTAGCTTTTAAGTATTACTTAAAACTCGAAGGCGGCCGCCCGATGAGCAAAATTTTCAGCTGCTGCCGTCCGATAGTCACTGCCGCCGGACGGACGCCGGCCGATATTGCGATTTTTTAGAGAAACAGACGCCGCCCGGCGGCATTTTCTTATTTGTGACCTAGGCATAAGTTGCTTAACATGTATACCTAACCACAGGGACATTTTTGTGGTCGTGTTGCAAAATACATATATAAACTTGTATGTTAATGGCACGTTATTTTAAGTGCATTCTGTTTGCTTTTGTAAATAGATTAATACACTCTTTTTATTATAATATGAGATGCTATGAAAACAAAGTTATAAACGGCAACAAATAAGGTGTTTAAAGTTATTGTATTCAAATTAATTGCAATTTACAAGAGTGATTTCATATTTTGAAAAGTATGTTAACGGTTGTGGGTCTATTAACGGCATGTTAAAGCCCGGTATCCCTAGTCAACTTCCGTACAGTACGACGTAATTAGACGCAACTCACGTGACGTCAGTCATCAAGCAATGACGGTACCGAATTTCCATATGCTTACCACTGCTATTGAGCTACATGTATATTATATGTGTGGTGCTTGATAAGTATAAAAAATCATGTTATAAAGCGGGATGCGATACGATGAGAGAAAATAACATCTTTACTGAGGTACGTTGGTAATTTTTTGTAAACAAAAAACAACTGAGACATATTATGAAGTTCAAAGGAGCACAAATCTCAGTTATATTTCTTTCTCTTCAAATTGCGAATGTCTCAATCTTAATCATCTTGTCTTCTGTCTAGTTAACGTTGTAACATAATACGTTAACACAAGTTTAGTATATACCTTCAAGTTTTTGTTCATTCATCATTATAGAAAAGAATTTAACCTCACTAGTACAGACAAGAAGGGCGTTCCTGTATTAACATTTGTATAGGTGTATTCGTTTTTGAATATTTTCATACTTTTGTTGTGAAGCATATAATCATAAATCTTGAATATAAATAAACTATAGTTTTCGCCATGTTTCATTATGCACATTTAATGAACTTACTACAAGTCCTTGTGGTGTAAGGGGGTCAAATTCCCGATATTTAGACCTGAGATTTGATAGATTATGCATAAATATCATATAACATCCAAAAGGTTTCGATATCAATTAACGAATTTTTTTATGTAATATCAATCAACAAAAGTAACTCATGACTACCCCATCCCACCGATCCCTTCTGAGGGGAAACTACATGTAGTAAAATGCTTTACTCTCAATGGAATATACATTAACACATTTTCAATGGGTCAGACATAAAACATGTTACTTAAATGGCCGTTATTTATACAACACTAGGTGTCCAGAAATGATTTTCAAATACGTTTGACAAGCAGTAGCCAAATATTGTTAATAATCAGTGACATAAAATTTATAAAAATATATAATAAATGTAACAGACCCGGTCGTACTTTAGGCAATATCAGTCTCCAAAAACTCATACTTTATTATTATATTATATCCGTTGTACAAGAATCTTATTAAACAATAGAAGTTGAAAGTTGAATCAGAATGGTAAATCTTGGGTTTGTACACTTAAATATTAATATATAGGACGGTGGCACTAATGAAAATGTGCTTATACATACATTAGAATATTGATGGATATAACACGTAAATATCTTTGATATTTAATCTATTCGTCTTCTTCTCAAAACAATTAACGGATTAAGACACGTGCGTACGTGATAAGCTCACATATTTTACTTCATATATCTACAGATCTATGCTAAGAAGTATAATTATTCCACGTACCTGTTTAAACCGTCCACAATTATATTTGTATTGTGTATTGAAATACTCCTTATATCCGATGTCGATCCTATTTCAACAGTTGTCAAATTTAAAAATTGCATATAATTTCCTGTACTTTAAATGTATTTCCTGTACTTAAAATGTGTTAAACTTTGTATTGATTGAAGCAGTGGTAATTTAAAACTGGTAAAACTATGTTACGCAATGTGTATAAATATATTACTTCTTTGCAGTTTGTACCGTATTAGTACATATAACAACAAAAGCTACCTGAACTTAGCTAGAAAATAAATAAATGCCCTTGGAATGGTGCCAGGCAATGTCAAATAGATCCGTGAATGTCGAGGTGAAATAATTTCTCAATGACAGAATTATCGATTCTTAACCATCCTTTAACAGCACGGCTATTTATATGTAGTTATTATTTAACCGCACCGGAATTTCCTATGCAAGTTTAGGAATTTTCGCACTCAAGAAAACTAGATCACTGTGTTGAGAACCTACTGACTCAGATATACTATACTATACAAATGTGGTGGTCTATTTATAGATTACTGATTGATATATCAATATAATGGCATTTTGTTACATTCACAAATTTACAAGTTGTATGAAATAAATCGATTGGAATTGATCTGTTGACTCAAATCGTCCCACGTTATGTTTACATGTACATGTATATCGGTAAATAAAAACACATTTATCGACACAGTCATTCAGATATCTCGCGTAAATGTTTACCAGTTTAGAGTAATACATCAGTAACTTACCTTGTCTGCACGTGTTAACTGAACGAGATAAGATAATCAAATCATATCACATTTAGGCAAAACAACTTATTCTTGCGGCTCTTAACACTTCATGCTGTTGATCTTTACATTTTTTGGTTTTAATTTTCTGTTCTAATAATATGCCTTTAGAACAAGTAAATTGGTAAATGTTAAAATCCAGTAATATCGTCACACTAAGAATATCATCCTGACATACGTTTACAATATTGACAAAGCTTCTTTGATCTTAGATATCCATATTACTCGTTACGATGATGTGTAAAATGGTAGAAAAACAACAACAAGAATAATATGCTTTGTGATCCAAAATTGTTTTTATTCATTATACATGTATAGGAAAATATGTAAAATAAACTGTAGATGTATATGTTTTATTGATATACCTATTTTAAGTCTTATTATTAATGGTGCAATGTTAACAGGAAGATAGATTGTGTAAATTTAAAAACAAAATGCCGAAATGCCTAAAACACCAAAGCCGACAACATCCCTATATCAGCAGGCCAAAGGGTCTTTTTGCCTTGAAATATTGGAGCCATGTCACGTGAATAGTCATTAAATAATTTATATATTAAACTTGGATATCAATGATATTTATAGCAATATTGGTTTTTTCTAACTGTTATTCGAATGAAAAAAAGAAAGATTTTCTGTAACATTATTATGATGAATTATCAAAAATGTGTAAAACTTTTTGTATAAAAAAACAGTTAAGATAGTATGAATAGTGTCTATATATAAATATTTCCCTGTTACTAAGATAATAATGTCCAAAAAATACACAATGATGTGTGGGCTGTCAGACTAACCATCTTTTGAAAAAGAAAAATGAATGAAAATTAGGAAATATAACAAACCAGTGATTATAATGTACATGTACCCTGACGTAGGGTATGATAAAAAATGTATCTTTAAAGATTAAGTGTTTTCTTAAAATGTAATTAAATGACCAATATCTTGTTTCTTGGAATTTTTATGAATACATGGATGATTGGATGATAAAATGAGATGAGATTTTTTTTTGGTAAGTATCATCATATATACTTATTATAGATTTGATACTTGTTTTTCGTGGTTTTATGTATTTTTTTGTTCAAGGCAGATGCTATTCATCACGGTCAGGTTGTTAACATAATTATGAATGAAAATTTAAACTTTATTGTAAAAAAAAACAAAAAAAAAACAACAAAAATAGTAAGATAGTCCGGAAATATTTTTTTGTTGTTGAGATTAGGATGTCCAAAAATATACTTATGATCTAGGTGCGCTTTCTTACTAACCAGATTCTAAATATGAAAATAAAGAAACTTAGAAAATATAACAAATCAGTGATTGAAATTTACACGTAGGGTATGATAAGAAATGCATTTTTAAAGATGTGGAGTTTTCTTAAACCTTAAGGAAAAGACCAATGCCTTGTTTCTTGGAGTTTTTAGATGAATACATGGATGATTGGATGATAAAATGAGATGAGATTTTTTGGTAAGTATCATCATACTTGACGTTGATAAATCAAGGTCAAAATGTAGATTTGATACTTGTTTTTCGTGGTTTTATGTTGTTTTTTCTTTTGTTCAAGGCAGATGATACTCATCATGGTCAGGTTGTCAAAAAGATTTTAAAACAAAGATGTTATTTTTAATTAAGGAAGATGAATGTAAACTTTATAAAGTTAATCATTTCGATAAAATAATGTATCGATATTTTATTGATTCTGAAAATAGTGCTAAAATATAACTAATGTGTTGAAATTTCACAGAATTTGGTCAAGTGAAAATTTAACATGACTAAGAGCGAAATGATATTAACTTGTTTAGTTCAAAAATGAAGAAAGCAAAGACAAACTGAAAATAAATACTTATCTGAATAAATTGTCATGGACATATGTTACACACAGTATGATTTGAAATTCGTATAGAAGGGTCACAAAAGTAAAGGCTGAAAACGGCGAGAAAAGATGATCATCTGATAATAAAATGAAAAAAAAATTACATTATAAAATTAAAAATGAGTAAGGGAAAAGGGATTAAGTTGCTTTTTGTAGTTTATGTCAAGAAAATAACCTATCACGTGACAATAGCAAAATGAATGTGTCCTACTATTTATAGGGAGTGTCGGCCGGCCTAAAATTTAGTTAGGACTGCCGACATTGAGGGCTTTCTTAGTGCCCTCGTCGACAGACTCTGAAGAGGAGGAAACAGCCAGTGAGCTTCTTGCTCTGGTTGACATCCGGCTTATACTGGCTCTTTGAGACGACATGTGGCTCCTATTTCGTTCAGCGTCTGCCTGTCTATGGCTGATACGGAGTCGCACTCTTTCCTGAAACTGGTGTTCGGCTTCGTTTTTTCGCTGCTTGCACTCAGTTCTAAAATATATCAAAGAAAATTGTGACAATTGAATGTTATCAATGTCGTTGAGTAATGTAGATTGCATATATAAAATTATGTGTGTTGTGATGTAAATGATATAGTAACTCGTAAGGTGTAAATGATATATATCTGGTGTGATGTAAATGATATATATCCGGTTTGATGTAAATGATATTTTATCTAGCGTGATCGATGTAAGTGATATAGTTCTTGTGTGATGAAAATGTTGTAGTATCTGGTGTTATTTAAATGATTTAGTATCTGGTGTGATGTAAATGATATAGTATCTGGTGAGGGGTAAATGATATAGTATCTGGTGTGATGTAAATGATATAGTATCTCGTGTGATGTAAATGATTTAGTATCTGCTGTGATGTTAATGACATAGTACTGGTGTGATGTAATTGATATAGTATCTGGTGTGATGTATATGATATAGTATCTGGTATGACATAAATGATATAGTATCTGGTGAGATGTTAATGATATAGTATCCGGTGTGATGTAAATGATATAGTATCCGGTAGGATATAAATAATACAGTATTTTGTGTGATGTAAATGATATAGTATCTGTTGTGATGTAATTGATATAATATCTGTGGTGATGTAAATGATATAGTATCTGGTGTGATGTAAATTATATAGTATCCGGTAGGATATAAATAATACAGTATCTTGTGTGATGTAAATGATATAGTATCTGTTGTGATGTAATTGATATAATATCTGTGGTGATGTAAATGGTATAGTATCTGGTATGACATAAATTATATAGTATCTGGTGAGATGTTAATGATATAGTATCTGGTGGGATGTAAATGATTATGTATCTGGTGTGATGTAATTGATATAGTATCTTGTGTAATGCAAATGATATAGTATCTGTTGTGATGTAAATGATATAGTATCTGGTGTGATGTAAATGATTCAGTATCTGGTGTGATGTTAACGATATAGTATCTGGTGTGATGTAATTGATAAAGTATCTTGTGTGATGTAATTGGTATAGTATCTGGTGTGATGTAAATGATATAGTATCTGGTGTGATGTAAATGATATAGTTTCTGGTATGATGTAAATGATATTGTATCTGGTAGGATGTAAATGATATAGTATCTGGTGTGATGTAAATGATATAATATCTCGTGTGATGTAATTGATATAGTATCTGATGTGATGTAAATGTTATAGAATCTGATGTGATGTAAATATTATATTTCTGGTGTGATGTAAATGATGTTCTCTATGGTGTGATGTGAATGATATAGTATCTGGTGTGATGTAAATGATATAGTATCTCGTGTGATGTAAATGATATAGTATCTGATGTGATGTAAATGATATAGTATCTGGTGTGATGTAAATGATATAGTATCTGGTGTGATGTAATTGATATCGTACCTGGTGTGATGTCAAAAATAAAGTGTCTGGTGTAATATTAGTAATATATATTGATGTGATGTAAATGATATATACCTCGTGTTATGTAATGATTTATTGTCTGATGTGAATTGATGCTATTTAAAAACATGTGTTATGTAAATAATATCTTTTTCAATGATAGAGATCATATCTAAAATGTATAATGATTATGCGAAATATAAAACTTTGTAGACATTGTCTGAACATACACACATTCCTTTAAAGAAGGTACATTCTGTTATTGAACGTACGTGTATATGTAATCAAACGGTTGTTACACAAAATAAATGAGCTTACTTTTTTCTCTGGTGCTCTCTTGCCATTATTTTCTTTTTGGATAACTCTTCATTTCTTTTGGCCTCAGCTTTATCTTGCCGAGCCTCACATGCTAGGCGTATCTGTTAAAATATTACAAAATATTAAAGGCAAACTCAAACTTTCCTTTTGAAATTTCTCAATTTTGTCCAAATTGTATATAATTATAGTAACAGTATAAAAGAAAATATAAAAGTCAAAAGTTTCGAATCTCAAATTATTGGCTATTCCTTACGTTCCATATAGTGCCGTTGTGAATTTATAGATGTTTTTAATCAATACACAACTTCATATTCGTCAATACTCAGCTAATCTCGTTTTTATTCCGTTAATTATAAAGCGTTAATGGGATTTATGTCATTTGTAGCATTTACATTGGATTAAATATAACTTTATGTTGCAGATTTAATATATCATCTTTTAGTTGATGTTGAAGAGCAAATTTCAAATGGCTTTTACACTTACTATTCTAATTACATTTTGTACGTATGTTATATGAACCTCGATCAGTCTAGACAAATTAACAAATCGTTTATTAAGGAATTTTGACATTCTTATATACAGACTAAATAGCAAATAGTGCAGTTACATGGATATATCTTATTAATACATATATAGTTTTCAAATATACATCAGAAATATTTCCAGGCGGAAGCATAGAAAGTATGTTGTATTCAAAAATACAATTTTAAATATACATCAGAAATACTTCCAGGCGGAAGCATAGAAAGTATGTTGTATTCGAAATATAAGATTTATACTTACAGGCCCTTCAGCAGTCTTTATTGGCGGCAATATCGGCTTCATCACTATCGGTTTGCAATCTACCTCAATGACAAAAGACTCCCCGCCACGTGATTTTCTATGCTCATATTGAACTTAAATAGAAAGAGTATTGCCAATGAATTATCTTGTTAAATAAAATAAAACAAGTTTTGTCTTCTCAGTGCGCAGTTTCTTTAAATAAAAGTTTGAATAAATATTCTTACAAGCAGGAAACAATTATTCATATATTTTCTGTCACAAAATGCGAGCAAGGTGTGTGTGTTTGTGCGTGTTTGCGTGCGTGCGTGCGTGCGTGTGTGTAATTCTTACCTAGCGTTGGTGTGGGGGCGCGGCTAGCTATAGCCTTCTTTTTCTTTTGACGTCTTTTCTCCTTCCGTTTGGCTATCCAAGTTGAAATGAAACCAAAACAACTTGGAAGCTTCATTTTCTTTTTCTTTTTCTTCTTGTCATTTTCCTGGTTAGATTCGTTAGAGGTGGTCGCAATGTTATCCTTTTCCGCTTTTACATCTTGATCTTTCTTATCAAGGTCTTCATTTTCCTACAAATGAAGAGGAATCCCGAGGGTGATAGTATTACAAATGTGGTGCAGCTTACATCAATTTCATTCAAAGGTTTTCAAAAATGTACAATTCTAATTCAACAAATGAATTAATACTCTTCACTCCTTCATATGGAAAG